GCTATTTTACTGTCTTTTTCGGACACCTTAAAATACTGCCAGACTGGTGAAGCCATTTTGGCGAGCTTGTTTTGCCGCGCACAGAGTCATGTATTTTACGTCATGCGATCGGCTCTCCCGATCGGCATTTATAGAGAGCACCGATCGATCGGCAGAGAGTGAATATCGGCCGATATCGATCGGCGGCCGATCGATCGGAGCATCCCTAATTTTAATGGTAGGTTTATGTTAACAGTGAGAGTAAGAATATCAAAAAGAAAATCCAGAAATTGACATTATATAAAAGATAAAAATGTATTTGCATTAAACTGTGGGAAATAAGTATTTGATCCCCTTGAAAAACATGTGTTAGTACTTGATGGAGAAACCCTAGTTGGACAGCACAGAGGTCAGGCGCTTCTTCTCAGGAAGGATTGTGGTCCACTCCTCTCTGAAGACCCTCTCCAAATCCTTCAGGTTTTGAGGCTGATGCTTGGCATCTGGAAGCTTCAGCTCCCTCCACAGATTTTCTATAGGATTAAAGGGCCCATGTCATGGCCATTTCCACTGATCATAATTACATTGTTGAAGTATACTAAAATAGATTTATACTGTGCAATTTTCCAAACTCACATTGGTTTCGCATACAGCATCTCTGTAAAGTATGTGTATTCAGCAGTATTCACTCTCTCCACTAAACGACTCGTTGGAGCTCTTGCCCCCCCCCTCCCTGTGAGCCTAGTGTGCTCCGATTGGTCAGCTCGGCCACTCTGTTCTGATTAGTCAACCACCAGAGAGGCTCCGCCCATGTCTAACAGTGCTTTTTTCGGCTCGCTCTCGGAACATCAGTCTTATAATGGCGTCGGTACAGCCGTATTTTTTATACGCTAACTAACCGAACTGTACCTACAACTGTTGTTATAGAAGAGTAAGTTATTTTTACCTGTAATAAACTACTACTGTTTGATGAGAAATCAAATCATGGTTTGCTATATATGAATGATATGTTATAGGAGCAAATCATTCAGGGAAGAAAGGATAGGCCTACTAAGTATTTCAATCAAACTTTATTTTTAGAAATGTACAAAATGAACATAAATATACATATATACACGGTATATCATCCATTCCTCCCCGTTGTCGGCATCTTGCCTATCGCAGCCGGGGCTTTTTAGGACGAGGCCGTCCCCGTCATGTATTGTCCGCCAGGATCTGGCTGGACGAAATCAAATGCAAATCACAAAATATTAGAGAAACTTAGTTGTTTTAGATTCGTTAGTAGTAGTTGTGGTAGGAGTGTGGATCTATCTAATCCATCTATCTAATCAACACAGTAAGCTTGCCAGCTAATATGCTAACCTAGCTTTCTTGTTTACCTTGGTAGCAAACACGATATGAACGTTAGCTCGGAGGAACGGCAACTATAATGTAGTGTAATAAAACTACTATGAACAAAAGCTAGTGGTTCATATTAGGCTAGCAATAACGTGTTTATAATTGCAATCTTATACGGGTAGTCTGCTACGTTCGGTCATTCATTGTAACTGGCATGAATACGATGTTTTCCGCTAGCATGTATAGCTAGCCTCGTTAGCTAGCCAACTGTAATGTACTGACCGTACGGTAAATCACCCGGAGTATACTGTATGAGTATTCCGTGTGTGACTGCAGACATTCTCCTGCCATGACAAACATGTAAGGCCATCTGCTGACATTGTAGTTGATATATTTAAACGCTAGCAACGTCGTTAGCCCAGTAAGCACTGTGTCAAGTGTTTTCCCGAGCAAACCCATGTCTAGCTCTGTTGGTTAGCTCGGTAGCATACACGCTAGGAACGTCAGCTATAATGTAATTACGTTTCGCGACTGACCGTACGGTAAATCACCCGGAGTATACTGTCTATGAGTATTTTGTGTGTGAATGCAGACATTCTCCCGCTATGAGATACATGTATGTAAGGCCATCTGTTGATATTAGAGTTGATATATGGAAACGCTAGCAGTCCGACACACGTTTACACATTTAAACAGTCGTGGTAGATACCTTGTTTGATAAATACACAAATAACAATGCAAACTTACAGGTTGTGTACTCGAATCTTCCCCTGCTCCAAACGGTCCAAACAAACTAGGAATAGCATCGTCCTTCAGTTTCAAATGCTGGGCAATGTTTTGGAAGCTTTCGTCTGTGAAATGCCGCGCACACAGTAACATTCTTCGAACCTCTGGAGGAACAGTGTTAAACAGAAATTTCAACCACTGACTTCGTCGTGGTTCTTCCGTCGGTAGGACAAACAGCTCAGATTTCTCCTCACATTTCAGGAAACAGGTCCTTGGCATTGGCATGACTGGATTGATTGTGAACTGAACCAGAGCTTCCAACAGTAAATGTTAGGCTGGCAGAGGGTGCGGCCAGCGCCGCTGGGTGTGGCCATAGCTCTTCGGATTGGTCCATTTCGTTCCGGGTACCGCATGACATCAGGCGGTACCCGGAACTAAATGGAAGACTCAAATGGGCAGTGACGTATCTCCAACGAGGCGTTTTGGGGAGGTATTTTCTGTGTTAGAGTTTTACTCGCTACAGGGTGTACTTTGAGGGTTTTGACTCTGCACACCGTTTACATGCATAAAAACCTTCATAACACACAAGGGGACGGGTAATAACCGGAAAAGCATGACATGGGCCCTTTAAGGTCTGGAGACTGGCTAGGCCCCTCCCTCACCTAAATGTGCTTCTTCTTTAGCCACTCCTGTGTTGCCTTGGCCGTATGTTCAGGGTCATTGTCCTGCTGGAAGACCCCTCTGTGACCCATTTTCAGTGTCCTGGCTGAGGGAAGGAGGCTATTGGCCAAGATTTTCACGGTACATGGCCCCGTCCATCCTCTCCTCGATGCAGTGAAGTTGTCCTGTCTCCTTAGCAGAGAAACACCCCCAAAGCATAATGTTTCCACCTCCATGCCTGACGGTGGGGATGGTGTTCTTCGGGTTATAGTCAGCATCTCTCTTCCTCCAAACACGGCATGTCGAGTTGATGCCAAAGATCTCGATGTTGGTCTCATCTGACCACATCCTCTTCTCCCAAGCCTTCTCTGAATCATTCAGATGTTCATTGTCAAATTTCAGACGGGCCTTTCCTGTTCTTCTTGAGCAGGGGGCCTTCAGGCGCTGCAGGATTTGATCCATTATGGTGTAGTGTGTTACCTATAGTTTTCTTGGTGACTGTGGTCCCAGCTGCCTTGAGATCATTAACAAGTTCCTCCTGTGTAGTTCTGGGCTGATCCCTCACCTTTCTCATGATCATCAATACCCCACGGGGCCAGATCGTGTGTGGAGCCCCAGACCGAGGGCGACTGATGCTCATTTTGTCTTTCTTCCATTTCTGAATAATGGCACCAACAGTTGTCTCCTCCTCACCAAGCTGCTTTATGGTGGTCTTGTAGCCAGTCCCAGCCTTGTGCAGGTCTACAGTCTTGTCCCTGAGGTCCTTAGACAGCTCTTTAGTCTTGCCCATGGTGGAGAGGTTGGAATCTGATTTGTTGATTCTGTGGACCGGTGTGTTTTATACAGGTAACAAGTTGATAGGAGTACTTTCTTAAAGGAAGAGGACTTATAAAACCGGTCTGTGGGAGCCAGAATCCTTGTTGGTGGCAAGGGGATCAAATACTTATTTCCTCCAATGTATATATAACACACCAGAGCAAAGGGAAATCCCTGACCCTTTCGGTCAACATGTCCTTGAACCCCAACATCCCAAATGGCATGGTGGCAGGTGGCAGCCTCTGTGTTTGAAAGGGTAAATGCCCGCCTAGACTAGAAAAACGGCATATAAATACAGTCCATTTACCTAAGTTAATTTAATTAAAAAGAAAAGTTTACACCATTAAGCTTGTCATGATTGAGAGTTAGTAAATTTGTGGTAATTTGATTATACATGACTATGTGTATGTAGTATATGAGCACAATATACAACAATATACAATCTTAATTAAATTGCAGGTTTCCAAAGAAGATGCTTATTGAATCTTGCCAGATTAAAATAACAAAGTGAAGATGAAATAAAGTTGGAGCATTTAGAAAGGAGAAAATAAACAAGACCATTATAGTGCTCCAATAAGCAGTGAACAAAACTGAATGTAGCCATTATTCATATGAAATACATGTATCTTTGCCTGCTGCAATGTTGTCACTGGACTTCTGATTCCATCGAAAAATGTTTAGGTAATAAACTGTCACATAAAGACACAAAACAGCATAAAAACACCTTGTCAAAGTTGAATTGTCAACAGTGTGTTTTTGCCAGTAAATCACTTTTCTTATTCAGTAAGAATGTAAGGTTTCTTCTACCTTACATTCTTACTTAAAGGGGACCTACTGTATCATGCAAAATGCACTTTTGTACGTCTTTTATACATGAATATGTGTCCCCGGTGTTCCAGGGAACTCACCAAGTGTCAGAAAACACAACCCTCTCTATTTTCCTCCATACCCAAATCTCTAAAAAAGGGGCTGCAACGGATCTGATAAAAACTGATCCAGATTTGAACACTTTCCTGACGTCAGGACAGTGGCGCTACGGCTATTGGGCCAACTCCACCAATCAGGAGGAGACAGCCACGGCCATTGCCGTTCTAAAGCGCTGGAGACGCTGTAGTACATATGCCAGGCCAGTAGATGGTGCTGTTCTCACTGAATCTGCCCTTGCAGAGCAGAGCTAAAAAAAAAGTGCAAATTGAGCGAAATGAGGCATGGCTAAAATGCATGATCTGTTTGGTATTTTGAAAAGAAAAAAGTATAAATATGCCTTATATAGGTATGGTCCTACACTATATTATTCAAATATAGCATGATAGGTCCACTTTAATAAGAAAAGTGATTTACAAATTCCAGAGTTAACCAGCAGGTGGCGCTACAGGAGAGGTTGTGACACTGTATGATGTTGCAGTTCTTAGATGAGTGCTGTGACAGGTTTCCTCTCATGTTGAACAGCACCGCCCAGCTCACCACACACTGCCTCAGAAAACGGAGGAAATGAGCTGAGCAAAAACTTTTGACACATCAGAGCAGCTCATTTATCTGACATGTGCTACGTACAGGTTTCCTGTGTATACAAAACCAGATAACCAAATAAAACCTTTAATTCAAGAAGAAATTAAATAGATAAATTATGGGAGCATCTTCTTCTGGCTTGCTGGATGAGGCAAAAATCAGCAACATCAAAGGTAAAACTGAGAGATCACTTACTTCTTTTTCATAGAGTCTGCAGAACACTTGTTGATTAGAATTCTATATGGACCCTCGTAGCCCATATGACATACTGTACTTCATACAGAGTGGATAATGGATAATAATGGATAAACAGGGAAGATGAAAGAGAAAGACAGAACAAATGTCAAGTAAACGAGCAATTAGCAGTGAAAGTGTTGGTGGCACCATCATAGCAGAAGCAATACTATAGCAACTGGAGCAGCAGCAGTAGTAGTAATACTAGTAGTAGTAGTAGTAGTAGTAGTAGTGATATTTGAGTTCTTACAGGAGTACTGGCTGCAGCAGAGCAGTTTAGTTCAGTGTACCATTCTCTGTAACTGAGTGTCAAATTCCAACCAAGTGTCTATCCTCAAATCCAGCATCATTATCTCATTCAGTCATGTATATACTGCCCATTTACGAATGATTTGCTCTGCTGTTTAAGGGGTTATTTATAGAGAGTCTGAATTAAGGTTTGCATTCAAGATAATGCACATTATTCATAAATTGTCTGAAATAGATGCAATGAGAACATTTTCTAGGGTGCAGACTCTATTTTCCGTCTTTTACATTTTATTGTGTCCAGCATCTAGTATTCATTGTCTCAATGTCCATGATTTTTTAAATACTTTTTTGACCAAATGAACCCTGTGTAATCCAGCAGCACAGTATATTTAAATCTATGATCATTTTAGTGTTTAGTGGTGTTTTATTGGACTACATTGTAATATTAGATGTTCTACTTGCATGGCGGGGCATCAATTAATTTGACATAGGTTTTTATTGGATAGCATACAGCAAAGAGGAAGACAAGGAAACACGGGGAGGAGTGTGACCTGCAACAAACGAATAGACATCACATGCATTTACCAACTTTTTCCTTTTTGTTATAAAAATAAATAGTTGTTTTTTTAATTACATTATAAATTTGACTTTCAAACCAACCTAGATTAAACACAAATGATGTGCTATGAGAATCGCTTAGCTCATGTCTATGTGTGCATTCCTATACATGTTATCAGCACAGTCACATCCTGTCAGTCACTAATCTCCTCCAATGTAATTACTGCCATTTCCAACTATTACATTATTATGGGCTGTGTGATCTCTGTGTGTGTGTGTGGTGTGTGTGTGTGTGTGTGTGTGTGTGTGTGTGTGTGTGTGTGTGTGTGTGTGTGTGTGTGTGTGTGTGTGTGTGTGTGTGTGCGTGCGTGCGTGCGTGTGTGTGTGTGTGTGTGTGGGGGGGGTGTGTGTGTGGGGGGGGGGGTGTGTGTGGGGGGGGTGGGTGTGTCAGGGTACAGAGTGCCCTAAACTGTGTATGATAATGGACATTCACTTTAGACAAATGATAAAACGATAAACAACCGATTATGACAACTCATCAGGAGCCTCCAGTGGTGGAAGTACATTAATCCCATCTTTGTATACAGTGTGTAGGTGCGTGTGGTACAGTGTGTGTGTGTGTGTGTGTGTGTGTGTGTGTGTGTGTGTGTGTGTGTGTGTGTGTGTGTGTGTGTGTGTGTGTGTGTGTGTGGTGTGTGTGTGTGTGTGTGTGTGTGTGTAGATGCCGTGGACAGACAGGTCTCAGTTGGTTTGGTGTCCTATGCTTACTTTGAATACTTGTAAATACATTTCATTTCCTCATTGTAGCGACCAGAGGGGGGGGGGATATATCCAGTCTCTGATAGTGTTACATTATTATGCTGTGAGTGCTCTCATACTTGTTTGATTCTGAAATTGTATATATTTATATTATAAATATATATACCTATAGGCTATATATATATATGTGTGTGTATGTCTGCATCTGTAGCCTGTTATTGTCTCATTATACCGCACTGTGAATGAATTAAAAGTAAATATATAAGTCGTCATGAACACATCTGTCCATCAGATGCTGTGCCTGTCATCATTAATGGACGTCTCTTTAAAATGACCGCTCAGAGGAGAGGAGTTCTCATTTCTCTAACCGCCTGCTGCTTCCCCTCCTCTCTCCTCGGCTCCCCTCCTCGGCTCCTCCGCTCGCATCTCCTGTGGGCGGGACTAAGTCTCGAGGATAGGAGTCGAGGAGGGGAGTCGAGGAGGGGAAATTAGTGAAATGAGAAAGGCCCACGGACAACGTCAGCTAACTAGTGCCCACTGCCCACCAGCCACGCCCGATACATGGGTTCACGCCAATCACAAAGCTTTGATGCGTTCAAGTGCATTATTCTGGCACAGGAAGATTATGTTATAGGACATTAACGATAAAACAGAATATTGTTGTTCTATTTTTAGACACATCTCGTGATCGACTGGGAATCTCCCCGCGATCGACCAGTCCAGCAGACTTGGGCACCCCTGCTCTACATAGTAGCACAAAGAAGTATTCCTAGAGTCTGTTGGTTCCCATGTTTGTTCTTCCAGACCAAGGGTTGGGCCATGGTTTAATAATAACCTCCTCAACTAAACGGCAACCTCAGCAAGTGCACTTTAAAGCTGCATTCGCTCACTTGGGGGAAGTGAAACACACAAGAAAAAAACCATTAACAAATTATCATCATATGAAGTTTTATTGCTAGCATTTACACATCCAGTTGTCATGGAAAGACATTAGCAATCCATGAATGGTCCTTTGTGCACCAATTAAATGTAAGTCCAATATACAATCCCATGTCAGCAGCTCTGCTTTGCTCTGAACCAACTCCTGAAAAAGAAATATGGCACTTCACCAGCTAAATACTCCACTATGTTCACCAGCTAGTCGCCCACTTCAACCAAAATAGTAAAGTTGAGGATTGTAAAAAATCAAGACGAGCTAAGAGAAATGTGATGCTGTGTAGCAAAATAACTGCATGGTAAATGTGGGTTCAAGAATGTCTAGTTTCACATTGTAGACAAATATTGAATCCATTGTAATAATATTTACTTTTGCAACTTAAAATACTTAATTCAAAATTCAGAGCAGAGGGATTGACTCCACATGGCTCTATGTATGGTCACACCTGAGGTGGCAGCTAGCAGCTAATGGTGCTAAGAGCGAAAACAGTGCAAACAACATAAAAAGAGCTGACAGAGCTCACTGTGAAAACCTGAGGGCAAATCAGATGCTGACTTCTACATTTGTGTATCAATGCCTCCAGTCCACACAGGTTTATCAGTGTTAACAGCCAATTGAGAGCAGTGCAGAGTGGCAGCCATTAGCTAGCCAGTAGACACACAAACAAGGACTAAAATACGTACAGACGACCGGCTATGAAAAAACAAAGACAGAAAGATGCTATCTTATTCATTTTAAAGCATTGAGGATCTTTAATATTCACTTTTTTTCCATTGATGCTAAATCTATCACCAAATGTTTGTATGTACCAATAGATCCTTCCAGCACATTAACAGGCTTATTATTCCTTTTTGAGATGCAGAAAGCATTTAAAATGAATCTGTGTGTTTCCAGGGCTTGTGGACAGTACGTTCCAGAGCTTTAGTGTGTTTTACCGACAGCAGTATTCTGCAGCCTACACCGGACATTTGCACCAGGAGGTGGAGCCTAAGAAAGAGGGGAGGAGCCTACTGCTCGCACATGGGGTAGGAGCTGCACCTGTCAATCATTCCTTCAAACAAAAATCTGTGCACTTTATTCAGACATGAACGTTTGTGTATCTCTGTGTGTGTGTGTGTGTGTGTGTGTGTGTGTGTGTGTGTGTGTGTGTGTGTGTGTGTGTGTGTGTGTGTGTGTGTGTGTGTGTGTGTGTGTGTGTGTAGCCTCAGTATGCTCCAGAGGAAGTGCTATACCAAGGGAGTGTGACGTTCTCCTGCTGGTATGAGCAGGGGAAGAAATGCAAAGAGAGATTCATCGTACTGAGACGAGAATACAAAGTGGAAATACATGAAAACGCAGAGGTAACACATGCAATAATTTTAACAAATTAAATATGACATATACATAAAATTGACTTGGATGTGTCCCTGTGCTGGACGTGTTGTCTGTGTTCCCACCTTTAGACCTTCAGTCGTGGATGTGCAGCGAAGTTGGTCCTCCAGCCAGCAGGGGGCACTGTGTTCACAAAAGAGGAGGAGTCCAAAGCTCACCTGGAGCGAACCTGTGCTGGAATACTCAATGGCAATAATACCTTATTTCTTTATAATACTACACCTCACTATTTAACAATAGCTAGTTCCGCCATTCATTTTGCCAGCAATTTAGGTAAGGTAACATAAGCAAGCTCAAACACATAGGCTACTGCCGGGTAAAAAAAGTGTGCGCTATTTTTTGAATACTTTCACTGCTTTACCGTGCCTTAAGACAGCTATAAAGTTTCAGAGGAAACCTTTATCTATGTTCCTGCCAAAGCCACAGTCAATTGAGTTTTGAATCGCAGAGAATTCATTCTAAGGAGGTAACGTGAAGTGTAGCTAGCTACTGATACCACACTGTCGTCAACTTAGAGGAAGCTTGGTCTAATTAATAAAGTGCTAACTAAAGAATGAAGGCAGTCAAGTTCACACCTGTAACAATTGTGTGTGTGTCCATGTGTGTGTTTAGGAGTGAAGGAGGATTCTTCTTTGGTGGTATCCTCTCCAGATGTGCTGGCAGTGTATCTGCACCTGCCTTATATGGGCCACACTTGCTTCCTGTTCCAACAGGAAGAAGAACGTGATAACTTCCTTTCTGCCATCAAGACCTGCATTAGACACGGCAACCTTGGTAAACCCCCCACTCACAAACACATTCTCTCTATGGCCAGCTATTACACCTAGTGCTGTACCCATGTTTGAAATATGCAGTATATTAAAATGAAATGAAAGATCGTTTGGGGAAGTGCTGGACAGCATTGCCCAAACATTCAAAACGTAACTTAAAATGAGGAATTACTCACGTCTGGACAAACGTATTTTGCTATCCTTTATAAATAATTCCAACATTTTAACAACATAGTTTCTGTATGCATCGTTTAACTTCTTTCCAAAGAGTGATACGAGACGATACCAATCTCATGTTTGTGAATAAAACACAGGCTATGAAACTTTCCAAGAATTAATACAACTTACGTACATATGATAATTTCAAGTCATTATTAATAAAAATTAACCTTAACTCAATTAAACACTTAAATGTGTTGCTTTAATGTCTGTCTTGTATGCCAGTAGCTTACATCGTCTAATGGTAGCTAGCATCATCAAACTTAGATGTTTAGATTTATTGAGATCACTCATTCTGACTTTCATCCTCTTTTGCTAATACTATACCACATTTGACTATGTTACCAATGAACATTTCAATGGTTTTATCACTCAACAAAATAAGAAACAACATATTTTAGGATCAAATTATCAAAACAAGTCCTGGTTACTGTTTTGTACATTTGGAAAAAGGGCAGTTTTTATTTCTATTGGTGAAATGTGTTATTTGAAATGTGTTGATGATGCAACACTACATGCTTTAAATCATTTCCCGTTAACAAAAGGTCCTGTACAGTATATGTGGCTGCTAACGCAGTACGTGAGTCATACCCACCATCCAAATGCTGAGGTAGTGGGAGGCTTCTAAAGACTCAATAAGGCCTAAACACTTCAACCCATCTGTAATGTCAAGTTTAAAAAAATATTAAACCTGCCAATTGCCCCTGCTGATTGTCTCTTTTTAAATGGGTCCCTCATGTGGTGGCAGTTGCCCTGGCGACAGATACAAATATAAATGCTGTTCACTTCCTTTGTGGTTAAGCATAAATAACCCCCTTAACATTATTGCAAAACACAGCATGACATATCTGCACAGCCACCAAGAAACTGAGCAGCAACAGGAAGCAACACACAGCCGGCCAGCAGGGACCCGTTTACTCTGGACTCTAACAGGAGCTACGATATATGGTCGTAAATAAATCACAAATGAATATAAGCTTATATTAAAAATAAGGTATGTTATGCCTTTCCATCTCAACTCTTCCGATTAAAACTGTAAATCATTTGGCAGAAAAGTAAACCACAAAGGGCAAGGTGCTTGTATTTAGTCTTTAATTCAGGGGTGGATTTTAGGCCTACATGAATTAAACGTATCAGAGTGTTATCTCCCATTTATTCTCAATGTAAGTACATGTGCGTTAACCTGCACATGCAGGCGATCTAACTATCTGAATATTAGACACTTTAAATAGCAGGAAATGACTTTAGACCAGATTTCTGTTCTCTCTGCTGCCTCAAAATACCAATGCACCAACAATGCACCTGCCACACTCAGTGGCTTCGTGTCAGGTGGAGCCGTCACCTGGAGGCTGGTTCAGAACTATTATTATTTTAACACATAAAACTCAAAGTAAACGACACTCCAACAAAAAAAAACACACACACCAACACACGAGGAGATCAGTCATGTTTTTTTACTGAAGAATAAATGTGTTTATTATTATGTTATAGTTGGACAATGGTGTGTAGACAATGGATGCCACCACATCGGCTGCATCTCTCTTTTTGTGCTTGTGTGTGTGTGTGTGTGTGTGTGGTGTGTGTGTGTGTGTGTGTGTGTGTGTGTGTGTGTGTGTGTGTGTGTGTGTGTGTGTGTGTGTGTGTGTGTGTGTGTGTGTGTGTGTGTGTGTGTGTGTGTCATCAGCAATTGATTGCATGCTGCCTGATTCATACTGATGGTGTTGATGATAAAGGAAGTTTCCTCAGCATTACAGCTTTCTGTTCCTCAAAATATAACCAAGTGTTAAATCAGACTTTAGTTCCACCTGGAGTAAATCCACAAGCTACCCTGCAGTATACAAAGTCATTCAAACTAGCTGCACCTTTACCAGCTTTGAGAACACTTTAATGATCAATCATTATAAAACATATATATATATTATTCTGACATGGACCAATCTGCATAATGACTACTTTTACTTTTGGTACTTTGATTATATTTAGCTGATAATACTTTTGTGGGAGAGAAACTCCCTTTGGAGGGAACACAGGGGTTTTAGCCAGGCTATGTATGTACATGCACAATAACCTATATAACAAACGACATGAGAGGGAACACCCACAAAACAGAATAGGCCCCTTAAGCACCGTGTTATTCCATCAATCAGGAGGCAGAGTTTTCATATTCTGCATGTCAGTGTCCTTCGCTCATGATAAGCAGGAGCACCTAGTATAGCCTCGGCCCCCAGCATGTGAGGGGGGGGATTCTGTCTGCCGCCATCAGGAGTCGCCAAGACTAGAGTAAATGCAGTCCATGTATCTTATATATTATTATATTATATAGTCAGAGGTACTCAGGTCTTGTACCTAAGTAGAAGTACCAGAATGTAGGACTCCTCTGTTTCAGTAAAAGTCCTGCATTCAAAATGTTACTCAAGTAAAAGTACAAAAGTGTTATTATTAAAATATACCTAAAGTAGCGACAGTAAAAGTAGTCATTGTGCAGATTGGTCCATTTCAGAATAATATATATGATATGTTTTATAATGATTGATCATGAAAGTGTTCTCGAAGCTAAAGGTGGAACACATTCTAATGCATGCATTTACTGCTGGATAGTATGTGAATGTAATCAAGGTGTTACTAAAGTCACATTTGAGTGTGATTATATATATATCTTTTTTATTACTAATCTGCAAAAGTAACTAAAATGTAATAAACAATTGTTGTGGAGTAGAAGTACAAAGGAGTATACAATGGAAATACTCAAGTACAGTACTTGAGTAAATGTACTTAGTTACTTTACACCACTGTATATAGCCAACAGTGCAGAGATGACAGGAAATGAAGCTGAGGAGAGGCTGAGAACGACGTACAAAAGAGTCTGTGTGCAGCTGCAAGAACCAGGAACTCTGTAGTTCATTTGATAATGACTTTCCTAAAAGAGTTGTTCACTGCAGGTGCAAACAATAGTCAATAGGAGTACAGAGTGTGTGCTCATGGAAATAAAGTAAGACTTCCCACAGTGCAACAGCAGGGTGGCACAGTGGTGGGTTTTGGGATAATAGAGCTGTAGATACAGACACAATACTGTGTTTGAAAAGAGGATGACCAGGGTCTCACACTCACTCCTCCTGCAGACCCCTGGTGTGACTCATCCTACGAGAGCCAGGCCTTCGTCCGAGCCCTCCGACTCTACCGACAGGACAAAGGAAGCTATGAATCCTGGGAAATGCTGCTCGGCACAGAGGAACAAGTCAGCAAACACACACACATTTCAGTTTGGTTGTTGTTCCGGCTCATTTGATTATTAAATGATGTGTTTGCATGTGTAGGTGCTGGCCTCACAGGTGATGGAGGAAGTGTTGTCATGGCTACAGAGTCAGCTTCAGTCCAGAGTGAAGGGCAAGAAGGCTGAGAGGATTCGACAGTGGTTGGCAGTGAGTTACACATAAACTGTATTTCATATTTGACTGTCTTCATTACTGAGTGCATAGGGAGAAACGACTCACTTAATGAAACCTCTTAACAGTACTACCATCCCAATTTAGCACACATTAGTTTCATATCATGTGATTTAAGGGAGATGAGTCTGTAGTAGTATTCTTTTGTGATAAAAACAGGATGATATCATATAAAACATATAATATTGTGAAAGGCACCATTAAGTACTTTTACTTCTGATACTGTAAGTACAAATAGATGATAATACTTCTGTACTTCTACTTAACATTTTGCATTTAAGACTTCTACTTGTAATGGAGTATTTTAAGACCATAGTATTTCAAGTAAAGGATCTGAGTACTTCTTCCACCTCTGTTTAAAGAGGACTTCACAATGAAAATATGTGGATGTTTTGGAAGCTGCTGGTCATGTGCCCCCAAGTGGCAGCAAAAAGCAATGACTGCGTTCAGACTTCAGAGCAATGCAGCTTTCATGTTAGAAATATTCAGACATTTTCAGACATCATTTCTTTCTTCCAACTTCAGATTATAATCTTAATATTCTCAGAATGCTGCATTCTTTGTCAGATATTGATCTTTTAATTGATCCATTAATATGTGTCTGTGTATGTATAGACAGTGCAGGCTAGCCACTCTCTGGTGCTGGAGCAACTCTCCGTCAGTCTGGAGGCTCTGAGGGCCGAGTGTCGCCAGACAGCGTCAGCCAATCAGGCGCTGATCAGATCTAACCTGGACCAGATCATGTCCTCCCACTGCTTCCTGGAGGAGAAAGTCAAAGGTAGCGCACGTTAACCCGACACACAGAACATTCTGGAGAGGCAAACGACACTAACAAACAGATGTCTGAGTTTCCGTTACTGTAAAGAATATTGTGTGTGTGTGTGTGTGTGTGTGTGTGTGTGTGTGTGTTCCAGCGTGTATATGTGCAGAAGCAGAGAAAGTGTGTGGTGAGTGTGTGTCGCCCTACATTTCCTCCATCCTTAAAGCGCTCACTGAACACATCAGTGCAGGGATTCAGGGGATGCAACACACACTGCACACACAGATGGACTCAGCCTTCAAACACACTAATGGAGGAACAGAGGAGACCAAGAAGGTGAGAGACATGTGTTCTAAGTTAAAGTCTATGAATAATAATAATGGCTTGAATTTCAGAGTTTTAGTTGAGATATTTTGTGGTGATTTCTTGTTTTTCTTCAGAAAATCAATATACTTAAAGGTGGGGTAGGTAAGTTTGAGAAACCGGCTCGAGATACACTTTTTGTTATATTCCATGGAATGCTCTTAACATCCCGATAGCAATGAATATCTGAAGTGCTTTGACAAAAACTCCATTAAATGTCATCTGTGGAAGCCGTAGTACTGTAAAAAGTACGACCAATCATTTTAGCCGAAATAACTGGATGGCCTACCTGCCTGTCAGCCTTCCATCTGTGCACAAACTTATCTCGTGCCCTCATTGGTCATGTGCGCGGTCGTGTGTGTTGGAAGAGGGGCTCTGTAAGGAAGTGGCAGATTTTTTCCGGCTGTGTATTTTCAAATTCTTGCGCACTCGAGCTGGTTTCTCCAAAATTACCTACCCCACCTTTAATTCCAAAGCTGTTGGGCCAATATGTTTAAATGTTCTCAGAATACAGCCTAAAAGTTCCAAACAAATTGACCATTAAGGGGCACAACAAATGCAAAACATGGACGTGGTGATAGAGGGCGTGACATAACTCAAATAAGACTATAAATACGAAACTATAACAAAAGTGGCCTAACATTTTTAACAACTTTAAACCAGTTGCACAACCAGTTCCAAATATGTGCATGCCTACACATTTGGAAAATAATCCCCAAAGATGATGGTTATTCTTATTTTGAGTGTTAAAACATGTCTCTAACATGTTAGTGCACTGCCGGAGGGTGTGGCTGTGCACAGATCATTACTAATATGTCTCTCTTTAGGTCATACACCTGCTGTCTGTAATGCAGCTATCAGAGACCCCCCCCCCCCCCCCCCCCCCCCCCCCCCCCCTGCAGCTTTACACTGATAATAGTGTGTGTTGGCCTGGCACTGGAATGGATGTTTGGTTCCTGAATGTGTTACATTGTTTTGCTTGTTGTGCAGGACTTGTCTCCGCTGCACTCCATCAGACTGGACCAGAGCTACCGGCAGGTGGAGAGCCTGACGGAGAAGCTGGAGGATGTGAAGCAGCGCTTCGGCCTGAGCAGCACCCAGAGGCTGGTCCACTGTGCCCACCTGCAGATGGAGAAGGTGAGGAGCAGGGTTCAGGGGGGGTCTTCAGCTGGGGGTTAAAATACAGCCAAGACCCTTTAAAACCTCACAGTGTGTGTGTGTGTGTGTGTGTGTGTGTGTGTGTGTGTGTGTGTCAGCTGTTGGACAGTGCTGTGTACACGTTAGATCTCTTCCTGCTTTCTTCAGCCCGACTGCAGCCTTCTCTGATCCCTGTCACGATGCAGCGAGCTAAAGAAAGAGTCCTGAAGGTAAAGACACGTCAACATGCAATATTAAAATAATGATGTTTCTCAGCTTAAGAAAACCCTCCAGTCAGTTTGTCAATAAGCTAAAAATATGTTGTTTCAATTAGAAAAAAATGTATATATTTAATGATACGGAAATAAAACAAAAATATTGGATTAGGTTGAATATCAGTTAGCAAAACAGGCTAAATTAAAACAATATTCAGGTAAAATAAAGCTCCAAAGACTCTATCTGAAACTATGCAGACTTCATACTGTCTGACTCTGTTTTCTAAACTGCTATTGTTTGACATATCTGGGGTTTTTACAAATACAATCAATGTGAAAACCTTGAAATGTGATTTAAGAGTGCACGTTAATAAACATCTCTGTAAATGTGCAGTGCAGTGCAGTGCAGTGCAGTCAGACAGACAGACAGACAGACAGACAGACAGGCAGGGTTGTCTTTGCAGTAGATTGTATCAGTGTTGAGCTAATTCCTCACTAACCAAGTTTTGAATTGGGACATTGTGTGTGTGTGTGTGTGTGTGTGTGTGTGTGTGTGTGTGTGTGTGTGTGTGTGTGTGTGAGAGCAGCAGCTGGACTATGACAGCAGAGTGGTTCAGAGGAGGCTGTATCAGGACGCTGTGCTGCAGATCACTCTGCCCGCTCTCAGCAGGAACATGGACAGCAAGTGGAAAAGAGTACGTCACACACACACCTGCACACACTGTATACTGTGTACACATTCATACTGTACTGCCACTAGAGTGTTACTCTGCGTGTTACACTGTGTGTGTGTGTGTGTGTGTGTGTGTTGTGCAGGAGCTGCAGCAGTTCGAGCAGTTCATCTTCTCCGACTACAGCAACTTCATCCTGGTGCAGAACGTCTACGATGATGTGCTGAGAAACATCCTCAGTAAGGAGATAGAGACAGGTACACACACACACACACACACACACACACACACACACACACACACACACACACACACACACACACACACACACACACACACACACACACACACACACACACACACACACACACACACACACACACACACACACACACACACACACACACACACACACACACACACACACACACACACACACACACACACACACACACACACACACACACACACACACACACAGCTGTATCATCTTCATCACAGTGTGTCCCATAATAATGCTACTGTGCGGTGTTTCAACTCCCCTGAATGAGTTGTCTGCCGCGCTTCACTGTGTTATACTGTTTGTGTTGTCATGGTGAATCGGCAGGTTCAATATCACGTGCAGAATTATACAATCCATTTATTTTCCATATACACCAATATTTAATTCACTGCCCCGAACATACAATCATTGCCGGGGTCAGACACACCCAATCCCATGACGAGACACACATTTTGTACCTGGGCCCTCGGTTGTAGGACCCTTTGACTCACAGTGAATAACGCACAATGGTGACAATTTCAACCCAAACATGTCCTTGCATTTAGATGGCTCTTACAGAGGAATTAGGTGAGCTGGGTATCAGAGCAAAGTTTTTTGCTACTCACAGCGAGTACAGAGCAGTCTGAGTTTGGTTCATCAGGACTTAACTTCCTGTTTGTAAACTGATATCTGACTGGAGATTGTGAGAGTGTCACATCTAATTTCCTGCTGAAATCTAAATCTCTACATGTGGCACGAATAGACTTGAGTTAAAATAACACGCACAATCATTTGTAAGTGCATTTGAGGTGCAATATGAACAGATATTGTGATCTCACACAAACATTTGAACCAGTAAGTGACGTACTTGTGAATAAGGTTTTAATGGTTTAGCAAAAGTTAATAACACACAAACAGAACAAATAACAATTGACAAACAGTGCAGGAAGAGGCAAACACAAATAAAACACAAGATACGAACGGCTTAAATTCAATAAAAATGGCAAACTAAAAAATAAAATAAGAAATACACTGATGTGATTACAGTATAAAACCAGTGTGAACACCTTGTGAAACGTATACAGATCAATTCATGTGAAAGCTGCAATATAGTATTTTATTTCTTTCTTTTATTGTCTACCTCCTGTAGCAGGGTTTCAAAATAAAAGAGTGCCCAGGCGAATTGTTTACTAACGGTAAAGAGATTGAAAATAGTGCTTTTCTAGTCTTATGGAGCAATCAGAGCGCTTTACAACACAAGCTATGATACACACTGATGGAAAGAAACTAAGTACATCTACAGTAATGTACTTAAGTTGAATCTTTTTCTGTTGCTACTTAATACTTCTACTAAACTATATTATAGAAGCCAATATTGTAGGTGGCTGTATTATCTGACCTCTAACAGCTCCTGCTCCTCTCCTCAGCCGTGCAGGAAGCAGCCGGTAAGAGGAGCCAGCTGTTGTTGGACACTTCAGATCTGACCATCAGTCAGTACAGTCTGCTGGGGCCAACCCCCCCTCGCTCCGCACCAGGCAGCCCGGCCACAGCCACCCGAGACCCCCCCTCAGCAGCACCCAGTGCAGGGGGGGAGGGTGGGGAGACGGTCCCAGCAGAGGTTCCCCCTCAGAGTGACCCGGATCCTTCCTCTGGACCTCAGTCCACTGGGGAGGCCCGGGGAGGAAACCAGCCTGACCCTGACGCACCTTCAGAGACAGCAGGGTCTGCCCCCACCACACCTGATGTAGCCGTCAGACAGGAAGTTGGATCTGCTGCAACTGCAGGTCCCGGTGACCCCACCCCAGAGTGTCCTGATCCCCCAATTTCCACCCTGTCCACAGATGTTCCAGCTGAATGTGCTCAATCTGCAGCATCTGGAAACCCTCCTCCACCTGACCTCTCAACTGCGGATGGAGAAACAGAAGACCCGCCCACACAGGAAGTTGTTGCATCTGATGCAGCTGCAGATTCCTGGGACCCCACCCCAGACTGTCCAGACCCCCCAATGTCCACTCTGTCCTCAGATGGTCCAGCTGCTCAAAGGGATCAATCTGCAGCGCCTGAAAGTTCTCCTCCACCTGACCTCTCAACCTCAGGTGGAGAAACAGAAGACCCCCCCGCCCAGGAAGTTGGGTCACCTGATGTACCTGCAGATCCCAGTGACCCCACCCTAGACGGTCCCGACCCCCCAATGTCCACTCTGTCCTTGCTGCAGTCCACAGATGTTCCAGCTCATCAATCTGCAGCGCCTGAAAGTTCTCCTCCACCTGACCTCTCAACCTCAGGTGGAGAAACAGAAGGCCCCCCCCGCCCAGGATCCCCACCCTCCATCTGCACCTTGTTTAGATTGTCCAATGAAAATCAGCCTTGGGTCACTGAGGGAGGCGATTAGTTGCAGCTCTACCCCACAGACGCTCTCTCACACCGACAGAGCTGTGTACCTGACGGGAGGAAGGAAGGACAGCTGGGAGGAGGAGTGGGGGAGAGGGAGAGGGAGGAGAGGAGAGGGGGAGAGAGGGAGGAGAGGAGAGGGGAGAGAGGGAGGAGAGGAGAGGGTGAGAGAGGGAGGAGAGGAGAGGGGGAGAGAGGGAGGAGAGGAGAGGGTGAGAGAGGGAGGAGAGGAGAGGGGGAGAGAGGGAGGAGAGGAGAGGGGGAGAGAGGGAGGAGAGGAGAGGGGGAGAGAGGGAGGAGAGGAGAGGATCCAGGACGGGAAAGAAGAGAGTGAGGCAGGAGGTGGGGAAGAAGAGGAGAAGGAGGAGGGAAGAGCTGAAGGTGAAGCCAAATCAGGAGGTGAGTCTGTGGATGAAGGAGAGAAAGAAAACGAGGAGGAGGAGGTTCTTCAAAGCCCTCAGCCAATGGGAGCACAGCGTGAGAGTGTTGCCGAGCTGCCATTGGACAGCGTGGTGATCATCAGAGACCTTGTTACTGAGATCACTGAGGTGGAGACGGTCATCAGCCCCAGTCCCAACAGCGGCCATACAGCCTGACACCGTAACCATGACGACTGACTGTTGGAGCTCCCTTATTAAATGGTATAGAGGTTAATAAAGTGAATAAATGCACAAAGGAGATTATTACCCATATTATTAGTGTTACATACACATTTATACTACATTTTTAAGAAGACACATACTTCAGTAAACTTTTTTAATAATGATTCAACTTATTTAGACTATTTCGCTGTTTACATTTGTGATGTTCTGCTATCATTGAACGGATTACTCAATAAAGATATCAAACTTGTCAACAATCTGGTTTTGAAGCTGCACTTACTGATTAGTTTGCTGTTTTGCTGACACGGACCTATTATGTACAACATAATGTACACAGGGGGGGGGGCTCAACCAGAAGGGGTTTATATGGCAGTAATGACCTGCTCGTTGTACCTTATAAAGCATAACTCGGCTACTTGATGTTTGATTCAAAAACTGATTTAGAACAAATGGATTTCAGTGTTCCTGCTAGTTGTGTTTAGAGATCACAACTGTGTCCATAGTAACAGTCTGTTAATCATAGCAGTGACCTACTATAAATCGACCAATCAGAATGAACTATCCAACACAGCTGTGTAAAAAGGCATCACAGTAACGTTATAGAGAAATGTTTTTACTAACAGTTTGGTTGGTGTCAGTCAGAACAAAGGGTTAAGCCAGGGAAGAAGAAGAAGGTTATCTGGTACACATTGGGGATAATAATAATATGTTAGCTTTGTAGAGCATATTTCAGGGTACACAGTATTGCTTTATTAAACACAAACAATTGAGGCTAAGTATGTACGAGAAAGTAAGAAGGTAATAACTGCAACTGCAGGAAGGGTCAAATGGGCAATATGTGTTGCTTTGTTATTTATCTTTTAAAAGGTTTCATTTTGTTTCGTCAAAGATAAAATATTGATCATGTGAAAACATTTTCTTTTTTTCATCCCATTTTCAATAATGTCCTTGTGTGTCCATGCCAAAGGCTGATTTAATAAAGATACACCAACAGCGTCAATAAACCAAACCATTTGTATTAAAAGCCGTCAGCCAGACGTCAACTATATCTATACAAAAGGAACTGTGCAGGAAATCATTCGGAGACATTTGAAACAGTCATATGAAATGTGGGACTTGTTTTTATGACCTGAGCATGACAGAAAATAAGATGGAGAGTTTCTATAGTCCAACAATAGTCCATGTTTACAGTGTTGTTAGGTAGCAATAAGATCAATTATAAAAACACAATTATATACAAATACTAATAACTTAATAAAAATAAAATATAACCATGCATCAACAATAAACTATATGTGCAAATATGCCTCTAAAGTATCAGTCTGCACTCCTCTCAGATGTGGGTCAGTCAATGGCACTATACAGTGTGTTCTTCAAAGTGTATGCTGCTCTGATCTACATTCAGATATGCTCTGTTCTTTACTAAGTGCCATGCTCAAGGGAACTACATGTACATTTCCAGTCACAGTTCATGGTGCATTTATAACTTTGACTTGTTGTCAAATAGAGTCAGTATGGACAATTCAACAGAATGGTTCAACTTGCATACTACTATATGTATGTTGTATTAAGCAATGCTTTTAATGTGGCACCTTCTAGGTGAGCTAGATCTGGGCCTCTGAGGATTGTGGACATGATTTTTGATTTAGCAATGGGAATTCAAGGCTCCTCTCATGCTAACCAATAGACTTACAGGCACAATGAGTTGGATGTTTCCTTAATGTAATACATACTTTTTTTTCATAAAGCTTTGTTAGGGACCTTTTAAGGTGTTAGCTTCTATAAAAGCGTAGCGACCAGGAGCCAGATCATAGGCAGGCATCCCAGAGGAAGCTACATGTGCTGGGGCCCTAAAGCTTGCAGAGGAGGGGCCTATTTCAATGTTTTGTGCAACATATCCTACCCATTGTGCCTTTAAAGCCAGTTATTTAATGGGCTTGTTTTCTCTCCTCCTATACTAACTAAGAGTAACACAGAGAAACAGAGAGCCCTGTACTGTGTGCTAGCTGCTACATGTGCTGGCAGAGACTCAAGGACCCGTCACTTCCTGCAGGTAAACCTCCCCATTGTTGTTTAAGGGGACCAGACAGGATAAGGGGCTTAAGGTAGCAGGTCAATGACATTAGTTTTTATCACGTAGTGACATATTGTTTATCCACTTCGTCTGAAGTGACAGGGTTTCTACTTTTCTCGTTGCTAAATACATGTAATACTGTTATGGTTTAACATCGCTAACTTATACAGCACATTGGGGGAAATTGAGATGGCAGGGAGATTAAACTATGACCAAGGGGGCTGAAGATAAGTTTGGTTTGCCTGTGAAAAAGCACCCTAAGTTATAGGGATCAGCAATGTTCCCATGAGAAAACAAAGCAATGTATACATTGTAGTGCAAGTTCATAACACAGTGATAGATAGTAGGTCTAACTGGATCTAAAACTGTTCAGAAATGGAGCGTAACCTTTGACTGTTTTTCAGGGGATTTGCAGAGGCAAAACATATCATTATTACATGAGAAAACATGCAAAAACATATCAAGATATTTAAAACATTTGAAAGGATAGTTAAATATTTTTCAACCTGGACTAGTTCCAACATGTTCACACACTTATAGTAACTATCAGAGCCAGAACGTCCTAATAGGATTACAGGGTCCAGGTTGAAATATACTGAAGTTTCCCTCTAAGTGTTCACATTCTTTAAATGATTTGCTGAGCCACTGGGAAGACACTAGAAGAAAGCTGTACTCAGTAAGGAAGACGTAGCTACCTGTATGTTTCATAATGCTGAGTGAATGAAATGCTGTATGGAAGGAGACTGCATCATCTGCACTATGATCAGTGTTTCAGTGGCTATCCCCACGTGATGCCTTCAGTACTGAGGGAGTCTAGCAGAGTGGGAGAGTGGACATGCAGGGGGTGTATGGGGATGACAGGACGTCCTGTGTGTGTGTGTGTGTGTGTGTGTGTGTGTGTGTGTGTGTGTGTGTGTGTGTGTGTGTGTGTGTGTGTGTGTGTGTGTGTGTGTGTGTGTGTGTGTGTGTGTGTCTATGAGTACTGATAGAAGGGTTGTTCATCGGGTCTGAAGCCGTACGCAGTAGCTGGACGACCAGGAGAGGAGCTGGTCTGGTCAAACACATCGCTGCCATCTCTGGAAACAGGATAGAAAATGTAACATTTCACAACAGATAAATAGTTACAGTAATATAAAGTAGCTAAATTCAAGTGTGTGCCAAACTTTCTTTAGATATGTGTGTGTGTGTGTGTGTGTGTGTGTGTGTGTGTGTGTGTGTGTGTGTGTGTGTGTGTGTGTGTGTGTGTGTGTGTGTGTCAGCACCAGGTTCATTGTCAAGTAGGTTTACACATACAAAGAATGTGCTTGTGAATAGTGGTGCATACATCAACACAAGAGGAAGTAGCTTTCTGGAATATGTTCACTCACCCTGTATGGTGCATGTCTCCATTTTGAGGCTGTAGGTCATTGAAGAAGTCTGGGCTGACTGAACCGTCTGCTGGAGTTATTCCATCTGAAGACACACACAGGCACATTACTTTCAGAAACAAAACGTTTCTTCACAGGCTCTTGACACTACTCACTGCAGCTTCTACTCAGCGGTCTCATGAGAAAGAATGTCAAAGCAAACACAAGTGTTGGTGAATTCATTCAAATGTGATTCCTGTATGCTACTCATGCTGCTGCTCGAGTGAGTCAGCTGCTGTCTGTGCTGATGAAGTCAGTGAGGAATTAAATGAACCGCCTTTAGCTTAGCGGTGGTGACGCGCAGCCATGGGACTGTGATCTATTTCCTTTATAGCCTAGCGTTAGCTTTTTACTTCTGGAGTAACGCCTCTAAAATGATTAAAGTTCAGTTCATATGTAGAGATTATCCTGCTGAACTATCATAAAGGTGTGCTTTCCACAGATTTGTCTTATTCTGCAATATTCCCCAATCACCTGCAGTTGAGGGAGCCCTCAGGCAGAATGCTGGTAAAGTTAGCAGGAGATTTGCATCAGTAACAATCCATTTATTTTTCATAAATCTATATCATTTTTCCCCCTTTACTATGCTCAAAAACAAATGTATTGAACATTTTGCAAACATCTGTTAGTAGCACAATATGAAGTTGTCTTGGTAAACTGAAAAAAACAGAGAAGACAAAATGACCAGCCTTCACTTGTTGCAAGTCCGTGTTGTGTGTGTGTGTGTGTGTGTGTGTGTGTGTGTGTGTGTGTGTGTGTGTGTGTGTGTGTGTGTGTGTGTGTGTGTGTGTGTGTGTGTGTGTGTGTGTGTGTGTGTGTGTGTGTGTGTCATTTTAGGGGCAAGGCCATTTGGCCTTTGGTGTCACACATTTTTTCAGGGCGCAAAGGCCACATGCCAGGGCACAGAGGCCATTGAGGGAAACATTTGGATTTGGAGCTTACAAATAAATAACTTCACTTTCTGATAAGAAAAACACACGAATGACATGGAAAACAAATCACTTTTCTAATATCAATAATGTCAAACATTATATCATCATATAGGCCTATGCCTCCTTATTACCGTATATAAAATGAAATGAATAATTAGTGTTTGGTATTTTTTCCATCTACTACTTCTCCCATTCACAAATCCAAAATCAAATCAAAAAATCAAAAATTCTATTAATATGTAACAAATATATTCCATTTCAGAGCAGAAGAAACAGCCTTCAAGGCTCAAACTCTGCACATATATCAGTCAGCAGTGCACAGTGAAGCTCAAACATTCAACTCTATGAACAAGCAATACTTTGAAATGCAAAAGTCTGTGTGCGTGTGTGTATGTGTGGTGTGTGTGTGTGTGTGTGTGTGTGTGTGTGTGTGTGTGTGTGTGTGTGTGTGTGTGTGTGTGTGTGTGTGTGTGTGTGTCTTTAATCAACTCCTCACAGCTCCTCATATCTGTTCAGAAACTAGACAAAAGTTAAACATGTACAAACCACAGACTGTCTGTGTCATGGTGAATACAGTCGCTGCTTTAATTCTGTCTTTAGGACGTTGTTGTGAGTTTGGACGGAGCAGATACAGGTTAGTTTCTGATCTGATCGAATGGAGATCGCTCCATTCAGAGAACACGCATTTTAAAAGTTTTTCGCCTGCCGTCTTGTCTGCACACTTGTCAAAGCATGGTTTTTACTAACCGTTATCAGTATTTAGTTACTTCGGAATCATTTTGAAACGTGTATTACAATTAAATCACAGTAAAATAGGTTAATTTTGTCGTAGTTGGTTTCCACCACAGTATTTACATGGATATATATAAGCCCCGCCCCCTCTCCAGCGCGTCCTGTTTGAATGACAGGAGTAAACACAGCTGACAGCCGCGGTGAAACTCCAGTGGATGAGAATATTCGCATCGCGTCCGTTGTGAACGCAGCATAATGCGGTTCAGAGACCACTGTTCTGACGCTTTTAAAGCAACTTCGAGATTTTAACAGTATCAGGGGCACACAGGCCATGGTGGCCGTAGGACGTACAATTATTTTCGGGGCTTCACGGCCAGACCGAGGGGCCATGACGGCATGGCCGTCATGGCCGCCGGTGAAAATCCTACCCTGGTGTGTGTGTGTGTGTGTGTGTGTGTGTGTGTGTGTGTGTGTGTGTGTGTGTGTGTGTGTGTGTGTACCTGCGCTATAGAACATCTCCGTCCTGTCGTTGTCGTTATCGTACAGATACGGTTCAGACTCGTCAGCTTGGCGACTCTCGACCATCTCCAACCACTGGTTGTTATGGAAACGGAACTTCTCTGACTGAATTTTTCTGCCCCACTCCTCATCGTACTCCTGGAGGACATCGAAAATGGTAAAGAAATTACAACCTACAGACAAATTTAAAGAAACGTATTTTTCCATTTGTTGCTGTGTGTGTTTGACTTACAGCGATGATATCCAGGGTGTTGTCACACACTTTCCTGATCTCAGCGTTCTTGTCGTGCATCAGGTCGATCAGGTAGGCTGGAGCCTCTACAGAGAAGGTTAAGGAAAGAGTTTCTTGTGTGTTGAGATTTCACAGTGTGAACCGTTCTCCCTTTAACTTCAGGACCCCTGAACACAACACAAGAGTCTCCTCATTCATCTTTACATGTAGGCTGAACAGAGTGCACTGTGGGAAGGATACGGGTGTCTTTGATGATGACATCACGGGTAGCTTGGTGAAACACCATCTGATAGAAGACGTAGACAATCTGACACACAAACTCATCATCCTCCTGCTGGGCTGCATTCAAAAACACAAGAACATATGGAAAGCAGGTTAGCAAAGTGCTAATGTCATCAGGTGTAACGTCTCTTTTCACATGCCAGTAAGATTATCATTTGGATTATTTGTTTTACTTTTAAAATATAGTGAGAAATAAGCAGCCTGTTCTTTGGCATTAATGTCATGAGGTATTTAAATTCAGACAACAGAAAAGTGATGGTCTTTAAAGATCTCAGTGAAACGTGTAAAAGTCTGAGTGGACTGACCGGATCTAAAACACAACATCGGTTAAAAACCACAGCTGTGTGCGTTACCATTGAGCAGCTCGATCAGCGCAGGGATAATGCCAGATTTTGCCAACATGGCGGCACAGGCGTCGTCCATGGAAACTGTTCCGATCATTATCACCACCTCCAGGATGAGGTCATCCTCTGCTGAGGCTTAACACACACAGACACAAACAAGATGAAACTTTAGTGAACACTGGTTATCCCAGCTGTTTTAGTAGAAATGGACTCTGGATTTTGAAGTTTAAAATACTATAATAATAATGTAATACTGATGTGTTGGATTATATACGCTTTCAAACTGCTAATAAGAATTATAATAATATGACTTTTATTGCAAGGATCCATAAATGTAGTTAATAGTAGTGAAAACAATATGTCTGAGGTACTGAATTTTACTGAATATTCTGTTAATAAACTTCAAGTAAACACCAATAAAACAATAACTTGCAATAATGTAAATATGCGGCAGGCAAAAAATGATACATTCCTCCCATTAGTTTGAGTCTTTTCTGCTTACTGCATATGCTACATTCATGTGCATTACTGTATATGTCAATGGAAACACATCTTTACTAATGTGTGGCTGTATCAGCTATAATGAAGAGATTTATTCGCCTCAAACCTGGTTTGAGGCGGTCTTTAAGGTAGGGGACCAGGTTGTACTCCTTCAGCACCAGCTCCCAGTCCAGGTCAGGGATGGTGAGATTAGCCAGAGTCCCCAGGCACTCCAGAACCCACTCCTCCTCTTCCTCCGCCCGGATCTCCGCTGCCAGGTCACCAACATAGTCCTGAGACAGAGCAAACCCTTCATTCAGATAGCTGACCGCCTGTACTGCTGGAATACTACCTCTAACGGTGCAACCTATGCTGTGTCTCAAATCGCGCTTTGGTTTTTTTTGTATGCAGAATGCGCTGTGATTACTCGGATGGTGCTCCCACAACGGTCAACTATGTGATAGTAGAACACTGGACACTTCCTACACTAAAGGATTCCCATCATGGCTATGCAACCTAAGTTATGTTGTAAAGGTACCACTCTACTTCAAAAAGAAGCCACCCTTCATTTCCCCATTTCCTGGGTTCATTTAGCAGTTGGTAATGATTGGTACAGCGAGTGATTGTGTGGAGTTGAGATCGTCACTACGGTTAAGGACACTGCTGCCGTGTGTGTTTTGAGAAATGTAAACCCTGGTCTGGACTTCACAGGACTTTCTTTAAGGTGGATATAATCATTTATGATGCTGCACACATCAACAGAAGTTCATTGATTTGCTTCAATGCAATAACTCCTGCCAACCTGCTGGACGTCATCTACCGAAGGTTATATACAATCTATAGTGAAGTTCCTCTTACAACCACTCTTAAAAGCATTAGACATTTTCATTTTAAGTAATTTTTGAGCTTATACCTATTAATTAATATATACATAAATGTATATATTCAAAAATGAGACTTTATCCATATTTTGATATCAGAATGTTAGGGTTAGATCTTTAAGTAGGTCAGTAAGGATTTTGTACAGCGATGATCATTTTCCCAGTGCACGACATGGCAGTGTACTATTGGTGGCATCCAAAATGACACACAGCAGAATACTTATGCTAATACTAACAACAACATTTGGTCACAACTTCAGATTGTTCTGCTCTTGGTAGTAGTTTGTTTTGTTGTGTATTAATAACTCACTATGAACACAGGTTTGGTGGCTCCGTCATGTTGTGAGATGTTTCTGATCATCTTCATCAGAAGGCAGTCTTTCATCTTCAGAGCTCTCTTCATAAGCATCTTTAACCCATTTCCTGCAGACACACAGTAAGACACAAACAGACACTCTTGTATAAAAAACTGAATTATATTGTATTATAATTATAATATCACAAAATATGTTTATTTATAGGACAGGTCAGGACCCTTTTCATAATGGAATATGTAGAGTAAAAAGTGTCAGAAGTCTGAAGGACCTACAGGGCCAGAGAGCCAGTATGTGTTCAAAGAGTGCAGCTGTAATACATGCACCTTCACATATGAGCTGAGCGTTCCTCTTGTTTGCAGCCAGGTTGATGCAGATGGAGAGGAGCTCCGCTTCAGTGTCCTCCTCCCCGTGCTCATACAGCATTTGCATCAGCTGGAAACAAAGACACGCACAATATGACCTGGGACTCTAAGACTTGTAATGCCAGTATTAACAGTCTGTTTGCAGCTCATAAAGTCCTATTATGAAGCCGGGAATATTCAGTACTTCAAAGTGTTATGTTAGAGAAGCTGCCGGATGCTAACCTGCATATGTTGGGCAATTTGCACAATTAGCATTAGTTGTGTTAATTAGCATGAATTAGCATTATAGCCTATGTGGACAATAGTTAAAAAATGGCTTGGCAATTTTGTACCATTTTGGAGAGGTTTTGGGGGACATTGAGGATGCTGAGTCCATTTCAGATATATTCAGGATCAACAATGGCAGTTTAAAGCAGATGGTGGCCATATTTGTACTCCGGGTGATGTTTTTGATGAATATTGGTTCGAATTTGAATTGTTATTGGATCATGTGGATATATACAAAATGAACAATATACACTCCTACAACAACAAGTAAACCTATTAAAAAAATACAAGCTATTCGTCCAATACGAATGATCCATAGTCCTCTTAAACTTCAAAATTAACCCAGAATTCATCAAAATCAGCCCACAGGGAGTACATATGACAGGAATAGATTTGGCATCCTCAATAACCCCAAATATTGTCCACATTCGCCAAGCCATTTTAAAGCTATTGTTTGCATGGGCTATAATGCTAAGTAATGCTAATTAACATAACTAATGCTAATTGTGCAAATTGCCCAACATAGAATCCGGCAGTTATTAAACTGTATGCTGGGGCACCATTCTATACATTTCTAACATATAACTTTGGTGCACTCAACATCTCCGGGTTCACATTCTGGCAACTAGACTATAATGTTAAGTTAACATTAACAGTAATAACTGCTGGAGTTAAAGAGTCTTTCATGGTACCTGAGGTATGCAGTCAGTGTAAACGAACATGCCCTTGAAGCGGTCGTCGATGCTGATGTGATACAGGATTCGCAGGGCTACCTGTCGGCTGTTCTCATCACCTGTGTGACAACAAACACACCCAAACATCAGTCAACAATCCATTGTTGAGCACAACTGCCAATTAACTGGAGAAATGAACACCACCATGTATGCTACTATGTTAGAGTGTACTTTTACCCAACAAGGCAGTCAGCTTTGGTAACAGTCCAACTTCCACCATCTTGGCTCTGAGTCCAGAGTCAAAGGAGAGGTTGAGCAGCAGACGCAGGGTCAGGTTCAACAGGTCGTCATGGTCACAGGGAACCAGACGAGCCAATCGTTCTACAGTATCCACTTCAGCCTGCAAAACACAACCATACAGTCAGTGGCGGCCGGTCCATAGGGGCGCTAGGGGCGCCGCCCCACCTCTTCCCATATTGAAAAAAAATAAAAATAATAATAATTAAAATTAAAATTAAAAAAAAAAAATATGTTTAAAAAAAAATATATGTTTTTATTTTTATTTTTAATGAACAAGGTAAATATTATATAATTGGTATCAGTAAAATGTATAATCTACAATAAAATCTCGTTTAAAATTGTGTTACGATGTCTAAAGTTACTGATAAGTCACATGTTTCCTGCCTGGCCTTGCCCATGCACCTTCTCTCGTCTGGGCGCTAAGAGAGGAGCCTTCAACCAGTGCAGCATCAGCCACTAGCAGCTGACTGTTGCTATCTGTAACGTGTAAACTATGCCGCGAAAATATAATTTCAGCCAATCAGCGTCGTCAAAGATGACGGTCACCAGGCGCCAATGTCAGCGCCCAGTGCAGTCTGTGAGTAGTTTGGACAGTGACTTGTATCCGGTTGACGCAGTAGTTGATGAGGATGGCTTCGTGTGCAGGTGGAGTCTCCGGACCTCGGTCCCCGGCTAATTCTGTTCAAGAGCTAATCTCCAATCCTTTCGAAAGGAGAAGTTTGGCAGATAAATTGTTGCTTAAAGACCTTGCACCGGACCAACCCGATTTGAATATATCGCAGCAATCTCGTGAAAAAGACAACATTTATACACGAGGCTTCACAAGTAGCTGGTACACAAGAAAGGCTTGGCTAGCTGGATGCAAACAGGTAAATGCTGTCTTTTGTTTCCCATGCTTGGATATCACTTTATATGTAGAGAGGAGGTTTCCCATGGTTGTTAGAAGTTTATTAATAAGTGGGCATTTATCACAGAAGTGATTGTTCTGTCTCCACGTTTGTTGCATTGTCTGTGATGTATTTTCCAACGGTTATAGCTCCTGTTCTGTCCCAGCAACACTACACGGTTTGCAGCTCCACCACATTTTTGGTTTATCTTCGGTGTCGCTTAAAATCTGCTTCCCATCGGACTAAAACCTCCACGTAATCTGAAGACAGATACTTGAAGTTATTTAAACCTTTTGCAAACTTTATGTTCTTTCTTGCTCTAGCCTTGCCAGTTACATTGTACATAACACATATATTATCATTATGCTAACTGGTTGTTCGTGTTAGACGATGTAGCTTTTTCATTTCTGAGTTATTGCTATATGTAAATAAGCCTGTTTGTAAATAATCCTCAGAGAAACAAAGAAAAAACACAATTTATGACATTTTGTGCTGTGGTTATTTTTTTTAAATTGCATTTATTCACAGTTCAGTTTGAAATGCTGTAGTGACTTGTATTGAACCACTTAAATATTTATAATTAATGCTACTGAAAAGATGCTATTAATTTTATATCTCACATGCAGTTCACTGTAAAGCTACTTGGTGAAGGTGTTGGTTCATAAAACATGAACAGTTTTAAGAAAGAAAAAAACAGACCAGTTCTGAGAACACAAATTCCTGGTAAAGTAGTAGATGTTGAGGTTGATAAATAATATTTTCCACACTGAAGATTATGGAGGTATTGATCAGTCTTCTCATATTTTTAAGCCTCGATTTCTCCTTTCCCCCCCCCTCTAACATCACCAGAAGTCATCATTTAAGGGGTCATTTCTCAAAAACAATTTCCGGGGGGAAACCCCCCGGACCCCCCGGGTAGGTCACTTACGGTACGTCAAGAGCCCCACCAAAAAAAAAGACCACCGGCCGCCACTGCATACAGTAGTATCTGAATGAGAGGGTCTCTGTCATCACAGCCCACATAATATCTTATCTGGTTCTGCATAACAACTGCTCAGAATATTTTTGGCAATGACTTAACATTACTTGGTCTCAGAGTAAATAAACACATGAGACAATATTTTAGGGAGGCTGTGGATCAAGAGGTAGATCACCAATATGAAGGATGGTGGTATGATCCCCAGGTTCTGATGTCAACATGTCCATGTGATCTTGGGAAATCATTTAAAGAGGCCCTATTATGTTTTGGGGGATTTCCCCTCTCCTGTAGTGTGTTCTATAGTTTTCTGTGCATGTAAATGGTCTGCAAAGGCTAAAATCCCTGTGTTTCTCTCACACACACTCCCCCCCTGCCTGAAACACCAGGATTGGACACTTTGTTTACTTCCTGAACATAGTGACATCACTATGTAACACTTGCGCTTCTATTGGCTAGCACTCCAACACATTGTACGTGATAGGCTATGGGGCGGGACATCTCTAAGCGGTCGACCAATCACAACAGAGCCTAACCAATCAGAGCAGACTGGGCTCTGGTTTCAGACAGAGGGTGAAAAGAGGTGCTGCAGCACAGACAGTATGAGAACAATAAAGAGCTTTTTGAGCATTAAAGCATGGAGACATGTCCCTGTAGAGACACTACATACTGATATACACCTGAACATCAGCAGGAGAGGACTCTTTAAAGTAGAGACACTACATACTGATATACACCTGAACATCAGCAGGAGAGGACTCTTTAAAGTAGAGACACTACATACTGATATACACCTGAACATCAGCTGGAGAGGACTCTTTAAAGTAGAGACACTACATACTGATATACACCTGAACATCAGCAGGAGAGGACTCTTTAAAGTAGAGACACTACATACTGATATACACCTGAACATCAGCAGGAGAGGACTCTTTAAAGTAGAGACACTACATACTGATATACACCTGAAGATGGTCATAACAGGGCCCCTTTAACCCCCAATTGCCCCTGAACCAACAGGTGTAGGGTGTGAGTGTGAATGTTCTCTCTCTAAGCAGGTGTCTTGTATGGCAGCCTCTGCCTCTGTATGAATGTGTGTGAATGAGTGAATCCTGACTTGTGTATGTAAAAGTTATTTGAGGGGTATCAAAGAGTGTAAAAACATCTTAATGCAGACCATTCAGCTGCATCGATCTAGTCTGACAGGAGGAACTCTTGAGCACTTCTCCTTCACTCACCATGTCGTTCTTGTTCTCCAGGAAGATGGACAGTTTTTTGAGGAATGAAACCACCAGCACCAGCAGCTCCTCGTCATCCCGCTCCAGAACTTTGACGAGCAGACCAACAATGTTTTTATTCCTCATCTTCAGCTCCGTCCTCGTGTCCTCAGCAAGGTTCAACAGCAGGTAAAGAGACACTGGGAGAAGGGCAAAGGGACAGAGAGAAATGTATCTTTAGTGCTATGAATAGCAGCGACGCACAGTAAAGTCAAGCTTTACTCTGAACTAATGCATCAATACAACATTCCCATCACAGCAAATCAAAACAGCATTTCTTGTGTTATTACTACTGTGATTTGTACTCTACTTAGTTTTATTAAAAAAAAGGATATTTCATTTCAACTAAAAACATTTCATACAACTACAAACATATTTAAAATATAATATTTATCTTTTTTTATTGCAAATTCTTACTTAAATATTTTATTTACATAAAATGTTTTATTTATCTTTTATTAATTCATTATAAAATGGAGCAAATTTTTACAAAACCAAATAGCCTCGGGATACATTTAAAATTCTGATTGTGTGGTAAAAAAAGATATTATTTGAGTTGTATTAAAGTGTTGAGTGTACCTCGGAGCAGCTGCTCCTGCTTGGACAGAAGGCCGTGGTATTTCCTCACAGCTTTGTCCTGGTCTCTTCTTAGAGAGCCGTTCTCTGGTGCTGACTCACGTACACAAAGAGTGTTAAGGAACTGGAACACACACACAATAACTCAGAAAATCTATACATTAGGAGGGTAGTCTGTAAAATCAAATAAGCAGAGGAGAGCAGATAAAAGGATATAAGCCTTGTTTTTCTTGCGCAGCTCCTCACGCCACACATCGTGTCGCTTCAGCTCGTGTTCCACCACACTCATACACAACGCGCCAATTTTATAATGACTCACCACCCCGTGAAACTGGGAGAAACTGGAGGAGAGGAGAAGAGTCACATTAAGTAAAAAGATGAAGCAGAACAGAAAGACATACTAAATGAATGTGTGTTACCTGGAGAAGCAGAAGAAGATGTAGATGATGATGGTAGCCAGCTCGACACTCTGCTTCCAGTCCTCCCTCAGCACTCTGGCCAGAGCTCCCAGGGCTGCCTCTACACACACACACACACACACACACACACACACACACACACACACACACACACACACACACACACACACACACACACACACACACACACACACACACACACACACACACACACACACACACACACACACACACACACACACACACACACACACACACACACACACACACACACACACACACACACACACACACACACACACACACACACACACACACACACACACACACACACACACACACACACACACACACACACACACACACACACACACACACACACACACCACACACACACACACACACACACACACACGTCAGGTAACCTGAGTCGTACAGGTATAAGAACACAGTCTGTGGTGATTTGCAGTGTTAATTTTGGCAGCTGTTTTTGATTTAGTCTTAGTCTTAGTCTTTAGACGAAAATGGTTATTAGTTTTAGTCACATTTTAGTCATTTCTATCCTTCATAGTTTTAGTCTAGTTTTAGTCGACGAAAACTCAAAACGTTTTAGTCAACTTTTAGTCGATGAAAAATTACATTTTAGTCTACTTTTAGTCAAAATGTTTTCTCTCTTTAAACTAATTCAGTTAGGCAAATACAGGTATCTGAAATTGTAATCAATGTGACAGCATCAAGTGTTGAAATTCGTAAAGTAACATTTCATTCTCTTAACACTTTACTTGTGTAATATCTAGGGATGGGTATCATTAAGGTTTTCTACGGTACTACTACTCTTATCAATACTGCTTATCGATCCGGTACTTTAACGGTATTCTTGTATTTACTTTTTGTTATTTTTTTAAAGGAAAAAACTAACAAATTGTTAACCGAATTAATTGCTTTATTTAAATGTGAAATAAATGAAATATGTATAATTATGTTAAAATGTGTACTGTACTTGAGTAAAATGTTGAGGTACTTGTACTTTACTGGAGTATTTAAATGTTTTGCTACTGTGTACTTCTACTCCACTACAGTTCAGTTAAATGGTGTACTTCTACTCCACTACAGTTCATAGTTAAATGGTGTACTTCTACTCCACTACAGTTCATAGTTAAATGGTGTACTTCTACTCCACTACAGTTCAGAGGTAAATGGTGTACTTCTACTCCACTACATGTATTTAATACCTTTAGTTACTTTACAGATGTGGATGAATGATGTGAAATATAATCAAGTATTAACTCAGACTTTAGTAAATTCACAAGCTACCCTGCAGTATACAAAGTCATTCAAACTAGCTGCACCTTTACCAGCTTTAAGAACACTTTAATGATCAATCATTATAAAACATATCATATATATTATTCTGAAATGGACCAATCTGCACAATGACTACTTTTACTGTCGCTACTTTAAATATATTTTGATGATCATACTTTGACTTGAGGAACTCTTCCTACACTATGGTATTTTTTTACTTAGCAACAAGATCTGAGTACTTCTCCCACCTCTGCACACCTGATGTGATAACGTTACTCGTAATTGGGGCAACAGAGCTACGAGTTAAGGAAGTCAAAAATTGTGCATTTCTCCGACTGAATATGACGCCTTTTGGCCGGCTGTTTGGACAGACTACTCTACTCGTGTCAACGCGCTTACGCCATAACACTAATGGCAAACGAGCTTTGTCCACATCGAGTCTTGTAGAGTGTCTCTATACTCTCTGAACGCTCCGTCCCCGGCAGATCTCTGTGAGCCGCTGCAGCGTGTCTGTTAGGCCCCGCCCCCCGCACACAGAGAGAGAGAGAGAGATCGCTCTTCTGGAGTGAAGAGAGCGGAAATAATGATATTGCAAGTTAGAAACGTAAGATGCATTTTGACAGACAAGACGGACAATTGGGGGGAAATACCCTGCATTTTGAATGTCCGATAGTCCACCATTAACACCTTAGTCCCGTCTCGTCTCGTCAACGAAAACTAAATATACATTTCGTCATAGTTTTCGTTATCAAGAATCTATTTTTAGCTCGTCATCGTCTCGTCTTAGTCATGTAAAAAAGGTCGTTGACGAACATTTTTCGTCATAGTTTTCGTTGACGAAATTAACACTGGTGATTTGGCACCATTTGGTTTTTATTTAAAAATATTTGTTTTTCTGGAGATTTTTGTAATTGTTTATGGCCATATTTATTTGTTATAAAGCCACCTACAAAAAAGTTCACCCATAAGGAGGAAGCATGCAGATTATCCCATATATTTCAGCTATGAACCACTTCCAACTAGCAAGAGAAGTTTAATTGTGTAATGACTCCCACATCAAAGGTTCTACATAACTTTCAGTGAGAAACCATAAAAGGTTCTCTCTGCAGATTATGTAGGAACCTTTGGGATGCTTTTCAATATTGGATGATTTATAATAATCACAATTTTGGCTCCTAACATTTCAAAATATACATTTATTTAGGCAATATATTTTAGAACAAAAATCATAACAAATTTGATGCAAACCTAAATCAAATAACCCTTTAAAAAAAATTCAAAATTGCAAAATGTGTTGCAATGTTGCAAATTCAAAAACCGTATACAGTGGCAAAACAAAGTATGTGAATCCTTTGGAATTCCCTGGTTTTATGCATGAATTGGTCAATACATTCGATCTGATCTTCAGCTAAGTCACAACTGAAAACAAACAATCTATTTTAACTAATAGTTCACAAATGATTATCACAGTGTAGGTTGGAATGTGTGTGAACTCCTAGACTTCAACAAAGGTTAACTGAGTTAGAAGTTGAGTGAAACAAGATAAGAAGTGTTGTTTGAGCTACTTTGACCTATAATAATCACTCAAATAGTTTAATTTGCTATTTACAACATGTATCTTCTCATGTGAACCGTGCCTCGCAAAAAAGAGATCTCAGAAGACCTACGATCAAGAACTGTGGATTTACATTCATCTGGAAAGGGTTACAAAGTAATCTCCAAGAGTTAAGATATTCATCGGTTCACACTTTCTATGAATGGAGACAATTTAGTACTGTGGCTGCGCTCCCAAGAAACAGGCGCCCAGCAAAGATGAATCCAAAGACATGCAGAATAGTCAATGGTAAAAAAGTACTTTAGAGTAGCAGCTGAAGGATTCTAGGTATTATTGGAACTGGTTACTTCTCAGTTCATGAATCTACTATACGCAAAACATTGATCAGGCCTGGTGTCCATGGCAGGACATTACAGAGGAAGCCGCTGCTCTTTAGAATCACACCTCTGTGTGCCTGAAGTTTGCCAAAGAGAACCTGAACACCACACACAATTATACTGCGTAAATGTTTTTGTAAATGAATGAAAACAAGGTTTTACTATAGGGGAACAACACGCATCACTCTGTATGGCATGAAAACGGCTCCGCATATCAATATCAAAACATCATCCCATCGGTAAAGTACGGTGGAGGGAACGTCATGATTTGGGGCGGCTGTGCTGCCTGTGGGCCGGACAGCTTGCCATCATCAGGGGAAAAAACTGTTTCCGAATTCATTAAGATAACCTACAGGATAATGTCTGAGTGGCTGTCTGCTAGCTGAAGATCAAATGAAGTTGCGTGGTGCAGAAGGACAATGACCCTAACTATCAAAGTAAAGGATTCAGAATGTCTTAGTACAAAGAAATATTTTGGAGTGTTTCAGTCAGAGCCCAGACATTATCCCAATAGAGAACTGTGGAGTGACCCCAAGAGAGCCGCTCACACCAGACCTCCTGAGGATATGGCTGAGCGGAAGCAGCTCTGTGAGAAAAAACGGTCCAACACTGAACGATGTGCAGAACTGATCTGGAGCTACCGAAGTGTTGGTTTGAGGTTATGACTGCAGGAGGAGGATTTACCAGTTATTAAATCCAAAGGTTCACTTTTTCCACCAGCACTGTGAATGTTTAATGGGTATATTCAATAAAATCATGAAAGATTATAAATGTTTGTGTGATATTAGCTTAAGCACATTGTGGGTTAGGGTTATATCATTATAAAGTCTATAATTGTGACTTTCATGCATAAAACCAGGGATTCAAAAGGTTCACATACTTTTTCATGCCACTGTATGCTAAAATAAATTGATGTACAAATGATCTGATTGACCACTCAGATGATTTAATTTCGTTATAATTAACTTTTATCTGGTTATTTCTTTATGTTTTTTCTGTTGTTGTGAACTGTATTGTCTTGAATTTGACATGTGCCTTTTTGATGTGCAATAAATCAAAATAAAGAACACACCCTTTGATTGGCTTGAGGAGGGCAAAAGGTCCCACATCTGTAGCTGTTAAAGTACTCTTTAAACATCAGTAGCAGCAGTTTGAAAGACACCATACCGTTGTGAAGCAGCTCCTCCAGGTTGTCGGGGTTGCGTGCAAGCTGCAGGATGAGCGCAGAGCCTCGGATCTTCTCTGGGATTCCTTCGTACAGGAGCTCGATGTACTCATCCACCCTGGTTATACTGGCTTCCTCGTTTAGCTGCAGAGACAAACAGGAAGACAGAGAGACACACTGTTATTGACGGATAACAATGCATGACACTACTACAGAGGTAGATTTTAAGCTTTTAGGTTTCTTCTTTTACCAGCCATGTAGCGACAAAACTTCCATTAAAATATGTCGCTTAAGAGGCGACACCTGGCCCATCGTTATGACTCGTTCCCAATGAGCAGTCCGTCCTGAGGCAAAGTTTCATGATGTTTAATAAAGAAAATAAAACAAACCAAAGGAGAACCGTACGGTCAACAAAAGGAACCTGAACCAGATCACCATTTCTCTCTTTCCAGACAAGAGCAGCACAGCACAGGTGGACCAAATCATTTAAATCACATCCAGCTGACAATTGCCAGTACTGACTAAAATTGAAACAATCAACAATGGCTAAATATGCGCTTGGATTCAAGCCATATAGATTAAGGCCCGTCCACACGGAGACGAAGTGGAGACAAAAACGAAAACGAACCGAAGTCGATATCAAAAAAGTCTTCCGTCCACACGGAATCGGCTCAAGAAACATGTCCGTTCACACGAAAACGCTGGAGACGCTGTAGTACATATGCCGGGCCTGTAAGTGACGCTGTACTTCCGCCACAAAAAGCAGCGAATAAGACCCCCCGAGCATGGTTGCCTGGTTGCCCTTCTGGTTATTCTCTGCGGTGGATTTAGCAACATGTAGTTCATGTAGTTCTCCATGTCCACTTGTTGCTGATGGTTGTGGTAGAGGAGCTGTAGATTTTGCACTAACATCTGTAGCATGGTCAGTAGCATCTGGAGCACGAAAGCAACCCTGTGATCCTCCATTGTTGTTGTTGTTGGCGAAACGCATCAGCAATGACGCGGGTGACGCGGGGGTGAGCAGGAGAGGTGGGGAGAGGCGGGGCTATGGCGTCATCGTTTTCAGGGAATGATCGTATAGGGCGTACACACGGAGCCGCAAGCGTTTCGTCCTCAGACCTACCCACTTTGGGAGCCGTTATCAAAGTGTATCGGATTCGGGCTCCGAATCTGCGTTTCCGCTTCGGCCTCGTGTGGACGAACCGTCTAAACCAGGGGTTTTCAAAGTGTGGGAAGGTGAGCCTCCCCTCAGAGAACATAAGAACAGCCGTGCCCCCCCTCCCAATTATTATTGCTATTATTATTATTGTTGTTGTTGTTGCTATAATGCAGGGGTATTGTTATCCAGTGGAAAGTCCTTACCTACTGGCCTAGTTAAATCAAAGTGGTTACTTTTTTTTGGCTGGGCAGTGTAGTTTTACACACCGTCTTATTTGACTTTCTCAGGACTTAAAACAGTTTTTTGGGGGCAGACCCCCACAAAGAAAAAAATATATTTACACACGTAAGGTCATCATCTTAACAGTTTTTTATGCTCATCCGTGAGCAGAGCATCAAGTTGACATGCCTATAACAGCTGAATGCGGCGATTACCATTTTGTTCAGCAAAACGCCTCACAAACTTATTAAGATCAACAGCTTTAGTGCGTTTTGATTCAATGCTGAGTACAGCCAAACTTCACAGTCTCTTCTCTGTCATTGTAGACCGCAAATACCTAATTCCTTCCGTCTACTTGGGGTCCGAATGCGCCGTCCCGTTCAAATGAAATTGCCGCCAATCACATTTCCTTGCAGATATGGTAGATCCGCCCCTGCTTGACCGGTACTTGCTTTTAATCAAAGTCAATGCGGAAAACCCGCACTCACACAGGTAGGCGGAGGTGAAGGGAATGAGCACTTTCACAGCCTTTTTGGCGAGGTGGGGGAACTCGGTCTCCACTGACAGCCAAAAGTGTGCAAGTGACGTTTTCTGCCAGAAGCTGTCTCCTCTCTCACTTTAGGTAACTTCACTAAAAATCGATCCATGTTGCCGCTCGCATAAAGTTAGCTGAAGTTAACTAGCTAGATTTCACTGTTTCTCGTTTTTTTTTTCTCACGCTGCGCCTCCCCTGAAGCTCTCTGGCGCCCCCCAGGGGAGGCGCACCTCACACTTTGAAAACCGTTGGTCTATACCAGTGATTCTCAAATGGGGGTACGCGGACCCCTAGGGGTACGTGGGGGTACTGCAGGGGGTACGCGAGAGAAAACAATAAAAAAGGTTAATAAAAAAAATGCTTTTTTGCTTATGCTTGGTACAACTTGTATTTGCCGTACTCGCCATTAACTGTTATTGCTCAGGTTATTCTCGCCCCCCTCTGACGTAAGTGTGAAGTATTGGTACTTCGGCAGCCGAATGGGGCCAGCTAGAACCGGTTTTCGGTACTTAGAGCCGGCTCCGCTGCACTGGAGGCATCGTATGCGGTATCACTGCTCATCACTAAAGCCAAAAAGCCGTTCACGATCGCTGAGGACCTGTTACTCCCAGCTGCTGTTGTTTTGGCCGAGACGATGCTGGACAGAAGTTCAAAACGGTGCCTCTTTCTAATGACACCGTTTCACGCAGAATAGAACTAATGGGAGCAGATATTGTTGAACAAGTTGTGGGAAAACTCTGCGAAACATTTTCACTCCAGCTTGATGAATCGACCGATGTCAGCGGTAAGGCTCAGCTCATTGCTTTCATGAAATACGTGGATACTGACGACATTTATGAAAACGTGCTTTTCTGCAAGACCTTAGAGGGGAAAACAACGGGGGAGGACATTTTTAATGTTGTGAATGATTTCTTTATTGAAAACGAGCTGGACTGGAGAAACTGCATGAGTGTCTGTACTGACGGAGCTGCCTCAATGACGGGCCGATTTAAAGGGCTCATGGCACGTATTAGGGATACAAATCCAGAAGTGCAGTGGAATCACTGTGTCATACACAGGGAAGCACTGGCGGCCAAAAAGCTGAGTCCTGTGTTGCATGACGTTTTGAACAACAGCATCAAAGTGATTAACTTCATAAAGTCAAGGCCACTCAATGCGCGTCTGTTTCACCGCCTTTGCGAGGACATGGGAGCTGAACACACCCAGCTACTGCTACACGCAGAAGTGCGCTGGCTCTCTCGGGGGAGGATACTGAGCAGGCTGTTGGAGCTACGATTGGAGGTGCACACCTTTCTGTCAGAGCAAGGATCTCCCTATGCCACACTGTTTGAGGACACAGATTGGCTTGCAAAGCTTTGCTATCTGGCAGACATATTCAGCAAATTGAATGAGCTGAATGTGTGCATGCAGGGAAAGAACACCAACATTCTGAACCTGTATGACAAGGTGGGTGGTTTCGTAAAGAAAGCAGAGTTGTGGAAACGGGCATGTGCACAGGGGGATCTCACCTGCTTTCCTCAGGTAGATGCTTTCCTCTCCAGTGAGGATGTGCAGAGCGCTCCAGTCAAGTCCATTATAGAGGAACACTTGGCCAACCTGATAGTTAGTTTCAAGTCGTACTTTCCTGACACGGAGGATAAACCTGCACAGCTTGATTGGGTAAGAAACCCATTTCTTCTGTCAGAGAACAGACAGAGAAAAGCTTCCTCTCTGTCACCAGGAAAAACTCTTGGATGTGTCATCTGACCGCGGCCTAAAGGTGACATTTGAAAACTCCACTCTCACGCAGTTTTGGGTGTGTGTGAAAAAGGAGCATCCTGAGCTGGGAAAAACAGCTTTGGAGCAGCTACTGCCCTTTGGATCCACATATTTGTGTGAGGCCTCCTTCTCTGCAATGACTCTGATCAAAACAAAGCAGAGAAACAGACTGGGCCTGGAAAAGAGTCTGATCACTGCTGTGTCCTCTCTGCCACCAAGGATGACCAAGATGCTCAGTGAAGGACAAGCACACGTTTCACACTAAATTGAGTGCTAAAGTGTTCTTATTATTACTTGTTAGTGTTATTGCAATTTATAATTTATTTATTATTACAATTGTTTGTTTTTTTTGCCAATGCTTTGACACTAAATTGTATTTTCTATTTTCAAATGCAGTTTAATGCACCTAAAACTCATTCATAGTGTCATTGCAGTGTTATTACGTAGCTTTTATTGTAATTGCACATTTTTGTTACAATGTTTTGTTTTGTTTTGAACCCTTTCATGCATTGTGACTGCTTATTTAATGCTGTTTTCTTGTTTATGCATGGGGTTTTGGATGGTAGCACATCAGGCACCACATTTTATTATAATATTTGTTTATTGTATTTTATAGTTTTTGCATAATATAACATTTTGTTAATTGGTTCGTTAAACATATAATTATTACTTTAAAATCTGTCGTTATGTTCTTAGTTTGTTGTAATTCATGGATGAAGGAGTTCATAAATCACACACTGATGGAACATCACTATATTGTAATTATTTATATAGGCTTTTTCTATCAAAAATGTTCGGGGTCGGTCAGGGGGTACTTGGCTGAGAAAATGTTTCAAAGGGGGTACATTACTGAAAAAGGTTTGAGAAGCACTGGTCGATACGATAGAGAACGTTAGCGGATTCAACTGATATCGTCTCCTTGTGGACGGGGCCTAAATGGAAGTCATACATTATTGCATGATATGGAGGACTCAAATTTGGTGTCACTGCTAATCAGGATATAACGCTGAAGAATGGTCATGAAAAACACAGAACAACATTTACAGAATGCTGTTTGAGAGCTGAGATAAGGGGGGAGTAGGACACAGTGTTTTAGTTGTTACCTCCATTCCATCAAAAGGAGTCAGCTCTCTGGGTTTCACAGGTCTTTTTTCTTTCTTCTCCACTGGTGACACACATACGGGAAGAACATTAGGAAACATAGCAGTATTTCCTTTGAAACGCCTGCTTCTTCCTATAAGGTTAATGATTGTATAATATTGTTTATATTATACAGTTATATTTTCTGCAGAATCCTTGCATCGTGTATTCAACATCACAACATCTGAAAGGTGGATTAATTAACTGGTAAACAGTGATCAGACACATCTGAGTCGTTACATGTTTAATGTTTTTAAGGTTGTCTTTCCATAGCTAAAGTTCTAAGTTATAAAAAGACAAGCATCAGCAAATAGTAACTTCAGGGACAAAAAATGATTAGATCGATGAAATATGTTAATCAAGCCTTGAAGTAAAGCTTTACAAGTGTGATGATTTGACCTTCATGCGTCTATCGTTTTTCCAACACAGTTTAGATCGAGCCACGCCCACTTCCACATTAACGTAGCTCTAGTTTATCATTTTTAAATCCATGGTGAATTAATATAAAAAAATAATATTAACATTTACTCAGCTATGCATAACTGTGATCTTCTTTCATATTGAAAAAGCGCGTTTTCATCTTCTATGAAGCACTGACTGATATACAGCCCATATCGTTTTTTATCAAGATAGAGTAGACGTGATATTACTTCAGCGTTAACGGCGACCTTCTCTTTACACATCCATGACACAGTCACGCCGAGCTACGTTAATGCGGAAGTTGCCGTGGTTGAATCTAAACAACCTTCATCTGTGCCACTATAGATGCATCAAGTAAACTGAATTTGTCTATTGGGTTTGCATCTAACTTTGATGGTGAACTATGGGATATGTTGAGACTCAACAGCAAGGTTGGAAAAAAGAAGACATGACTGACTTTTGCCCTCCACAGGAGATGACTTCCTGTTCTGCAGGTAGTAGAGGAGCTGCTCCACCTGGGGCAAACGGGAAGCAGGGATGAGTTTACACTCCTCCACCACTTTCTTTGCCAAAGCCCCCACATCTGTACTCGGAGACAGACTCTTCACTCGGATACTGGAGTGAGGACAAAGACAAGGAAGTGTTAAATATGTTTATAAGAATGCAGGCGTGAGTCATTTGAAACGTAATACTTAACTGAAGTACATGTAACATGATGAAAGACCATTGCAAAACCTATAATTATGGTGAAAAAATACTTCTACCATCATTATTTCCGATGTTTCCAGATATTTTAGGAACAAGCTGATAAATTACACTAGTCCATTCCATGTTAGCACACCAAACAGATGACTGTTTATGTGGTTATCTACTCCTATTCACTCAGGATGGTTAAAAAACAATAATGAGGAAGAGGTAGAGAAAGATGTGAATACAATCTGGAGTGGATGGCGAGATAAAGGAGATAATAATAGGTATTTAGCTAAAACTTAAACTTCCCTTAATTTCACTTCAAATAGAGGAAGAAAAAAAGAGAGACTTCAGCCTCAGAGCATATGGTAAAGAATAGGGGTTCTGTGTGGGAATCAAGAGTAAACTCACATTTTTTGTCCCTCCTTCCGCTCACCCAGCATATGCCCTCCTCCCTCGGCCAGTATAGAGGCTTCCACCTCGTAGTGGACCACCAGGGCCTTCTCTGTGGGGTGCACATCCAGACTGCCCGCAGTCACTTTGCTTTGGGTGAAGATGAACAGCAGATGTGAAAACAATAACTAAAAACATTGTTTTTCCATAACTTTGTAAAACTCCAGTTTAAATACATTTTTACAAACCCTTGCATTTGGCTTAAGTTTTAAATTCCATAAATGAATCAACGTCTCTCTCAAAACTAACAAGCAAATGTGGCTCCATTTCCACATTTCTAAATGTCCATAATAAGATGTCATATCATATCTCTTTCAAAGAGTTCTGCTAAAGTTTATTCATATTTATTATTTCTATAGTGTATTATACTGTCTATTTGTATACCTGATCTATAGTGTATATAATGATATTGCTGTTTATAATTATGTGTATACCTCCTTATAGTGTTCATAGTGTAAACACTTCAGTTTGTATCTTCCACATGTATATATTTATATGATAGCATGAATAATTCTGCACTTTCTGCTTGTTTTGCACTTCTTGTGAGATGCTAACTACATTTCGTTGTCTTAGTATCTGTACTCTGTGCAACGACAATAAAGTGTAATCTAATCTAAATGACTTTAAGTGTTGATTAAGTAAACAAGCAAAAATAAATGCATAAAGAAATGAAGATATTGGTATATTCTGTTGTGGTCCTCGGCTGTCAAGCCAGTAACATTCAAACACATTAAACCATCTATGTAAGCATCCATCAAAACAAACATAGTGCCTAGTGTAATGGAAGACACACCCAGAGAGCGAGATACTGTACAGCAGAGGCCTGTTAACCGACTAACATACTAACGTATGTTTCATAACATAAAGAGCTGAACTATAAGAAAAACTAGCTCAACTCAGTGTAAGACAGCTCAACAGAAGACAGCTCGTTTGCTAGTCAGTTTATCGCTCCCTGTTTCACAGTAGCTTGCTAGCTATGTTAGCTGTAACGAAGATATCCCAGCCCCCTTTATTAAGGGAACGTAATGGCGAACCCCGTTCAATTATCTGTTGGTTTAATGGCGTTGTGCTTAGCGGCATAAATAATTGGTCGGTTGGAAAATGAAATACATAATGTAGTGTTTGTATGGTATTGTGGTAGATTCGGCACTGTAAAAATCCACCACACAACACAAGTTTGTTCGGTGTACCGATTCACACAGATCAGCTGCAAGCATGACAAATGTAAGATTTTTCTCCACCTAGGTGTTTTATTTGTTGTTTACATGTATGCCGAATTGTTTGGGAGGTTAACGCGAATAAAAAAATCTCTTAGGACCACCAACATTAGGTGCTCCCTTTGCCCGAAGACCACGAAAACATAAAATTACCCGAAATTATAGCAGTCATTGGTGTGAGCTTCTCTCTAGGTAATAACACGTTAACAAGGCTAATTAGATACGATTGGATTTCAATAACTAACACTAGTCTTATCAACCCTCGGTGCTTGGCAAACGTCTATAGTTGCAGCTGATGTAGTATGTTGGCATATTTTTATTATATTAACAGATATATTGCAGAAAGAATGGTAGTAATGTTAGCTAGCTTACGTTACTTTCACAAAAAAACATATTTAACTAACGCTGTTGGATTCATGTTAGCTCTATGTCTCACCGTTTGAGGTAGCGCGCGTCATCCTGCATCTTCTTCAAATGTGAGGTTTCACTTTATTAATTAATGTAATTGCTCGCTAACATTTATTGGATCACACAAATCACGACCATAGAATCCTTGTGCTAATCGCTAGCCCCACTGTCAAAACAGCGAGAATGGACTACAAACATGGGACATGGAAGATATGTTTCCCAAAGTCCAGACTACCAGGCAGCACTTATGTTCGTGCTAAGTACAAAAACTGCTCCAATAAAACATATTGACAGATACATAGCTAACCAAATATTTTATCAAGGTTTACCATAACACCTGATCATGTAGAAGGCAACACCGTTTGATTTGTATAGCATTTGGGAGCAGTTGAGAGACTGAGATGCAGCAAGCGCCTGAGAGGCTGAACTCGGGGATGTTTGCTCCACCAGAGCAGCGTTGAAAGTTGAACTGATCCATCCAACTTGAACTATTGGACTAAATACTTCTCCTTGGAGCTTCAATTAACTATAATGATCGTCCAAATAACGTACAACCTTAAGACACTGTAATCCTTAATTCTGTCACCTTGGTACCCTCGTGTAGTTAACTCATTACACATGAACCATTGGTTATGGGGATTGTTTATTGCCATAAGTTAAAAGGCTTTTCTCATGGCTTGAGAATCAATGATCAGGTCCCAATTTATTATTGCAAGAAGGAGCAGAGTTAAATCACATACAGAGATATGGTTCAACTCACACACACGAGGTATGCTGCTAAAAGGAGCAGACAGTAATGTTACACTTATATAGTTTTCACGGCATTCAGTCGTAAATCAGGTTGGCAACCGATGCAAGTAGACAGTAGTCTGACCTGTTACTGTATATGTTCCCTTTACGGTAGTGAATGTTGCTCTTTGCCCTTAAAAGAGACAACTCTAAAGAAATGCAGGAGAGAACAGTCTATATTTTCTGTGTAGAAACAAATGAATCCAGTCTTGGCTCCTCCGGTCTCCCAGGAGGAGCTGCAAAATCACACAGCTCCAACAACAGTATGAGATAACAGTAGCAAAGAGTGTTAAACTGTATTTTTCCCCAACAATCATTTATAATACTTTAAAATTATGGATTTGCAAAACAGGGGACTTGTCTCTGAAATTGGATCTTTCTATTAAAACTGCTTTTTCAAATATGTGTAACTTGTGTGTCCCTCAAATGATGTCACACTTAATTCTTACACATTTTTTGCTGTGTGGATGGGTGAAATCTCAACAACTTAAAAAACGTATGTTACCCACACACACCACGTACTATTGTGGCAAGTACAAATATTACCACAAAAGAAGTCTGACAGCTGACCTGCTGAATATCTGTATTGTGATCCAAACAGAGACAGACAGAGAGCATTTGGTTAAGTTGCCTTTTATTGTAGAGCTATGATGTTGATGCAAAGCAATATTTCAGCACAGACTTTCTCACACAACAACGGCAGTTTACAGTTAATCCACCTTTCAGATGTTGTGATGCTTACAGTGTCTGGCATATTTTACTGTTGTGTATTTATTTGCACGTCCCATGTATAGGTTTTTCTAACTCTAGTGTCATGACTGCAACATTTCCCCGCCACTGTTTTCCTCCACTTCTTCCCCAATCCCTTTCCTCAACTCTCTATTCCCATGCTCCTTTATTGTTATATTCCCTCTCTGTTTACTCCTGTTCTGCCTTTCTCCAAACTCCCCCCTTTTCCTCCATCTGTTTCTCTTTCCTTCTGCTACTATTCCACATCCCCTCCTTCGTCCTCATCATCAGCCCATGCTGTGAACTCCTTCCTCGGTAACAGGCCATATTCATTGAGAAAACCTTCCACATCTGTTGCGAAGAAGTCTTCATTGAAGTGTTTGGTAACAGCCAGGAAATGACCCAGTAACTCACCAGCTTTGTACACTAGCAGGGCAGGAAGTACCTGGAAGCACATGAACAGGAAGATGAACCTGCAGGCTGAGGCTGGTCAGTGAAAGTGACACTGCTTTTATAGTCACTACTTATTATCTTATAACAATCATTTTAACTTTTTTACCATAACAAGGAGATCAATGCAACTCCAATTTCAGTTAAACTGTTGAAAATGCTAAACCAACAATTTGATTTATTTTGTTATTACAGCCGTTAAATATAACAAAACAAATCAGCTATGTCGCTATGCATGTAATGGACTGTACTTATATAGCGCTTTATCCAGTCTTTAAGACCCCTCAAAGCGCTTTACATACTACATGTCATTCACCCATTCACCTAACATTCACACACATTCACACACCGTTGGCCATGCCATCGGGAGCAACTCAGGGTTAAGTATCTTGCCCAAGGATACATTGACATGTTGACTGCATGGGCTGGGATCGAACCCACAACCTTCTGGTTGAAAGACGACCGCACTCCCTCGCAGCCACAGTCGCCCGCGTGTCAAGCTTTGCATTCAGGCATCATTTAGTTCACAATGATAAGAGGACAAAAGCAATTTTGTCTTGTCAATAATTTGATTGTGCTCTTTGGTTCTGGTTTTGAAAAGGTGTTGGTCTTTCTAGTGCCACACACACTCAAATTGGACAAATGCTGGTCATGTGAGGTGTTTAACGTCAATTTGCTTCTCATGACCTCACAGTTATTCTTAAAAGTGTCACTACAAACACTGCTACATATACCTGATAGGGAATATTGTGATTCAATCAAATTTGTGTAATTGGTCATAGGTCCTGTCTTAATAATATTACCATTATTATTACTTTCTCTGCTGCTTTACTTTAGAGAGTTTACTAACCTCAGGGGTGAAGCGCTCAGCAGCGCCTGTAGCCACAGCATCAATACGGCAGAATCTGATGCTGGAGTACTCCAGAGCCAGGCAGTCCAGACATGAGTTCAGCTGCTCGCAGCCTGACACAGGAGGAGACAAGACAGAACTTTTAGCAAACAGTACTGCAGTGGAAACATATTGTATATTACATTACATTGAATTACATAGCATTTAGCTGACGCTTTTATCCAAAGTGACTTACAATAAATATATCATAAACGTGCAGCAATTAGTCGACTAATGTAATTGAAGACGATTGGTCGTCTAGAAAAATCCTTAGTTGAGGGCCCTAATTGTAACATGAGTCGATGAGCTAAACCTATAAACCAACCTTTGACACCGTGCTGGTAAATGTGGACTATCACAAGAGTCATCTGATGTTCCTTCTCTATGACTTCTAGGAAGGCGTCTCCAGACTCAAGTTCTTTGACTTCTTCAAACGCGGGTCCGAAGCTCAGGCGCTCGTGCATCTCCTGCATGGACTGAGTTCTGTAGCGCTTCAGGCTACCTTCATCCTCCTCTTGGATCATTTCGTACTCCTGAGCACTCATCTGGGGGTGAGGAATATTTTGTTACTGTGTGGAAGACTCAGGCTGTCATTTGGATTCTAAATCTCTGTAGAAAGCATTTTATTGGCACATACTGTACAGTTCTAGTCTATTGTCATCCTCTAATTTACTCTAATATATATCAATGTCATGTTTTCCTTTGTGTGAGGTTCAATGAGTGTTTCCATCCACCTTTCTGTTGAGTCTCTCCTTGTCATCCTCTCTTGGGCTGGACATTTGTCTGAGCAGCTCTCTCTTGCTTTGAGGGACAGTCGGATCCAAGCTGTCCAACTTAAACCTCCGCCAGTCATTTATTACACCCTTTGGACCTGCAGATACAGAGAAAGACCACAAATAAAAACAAAAAAACGTACTTAAATATAACGTATAAATGAAACTGCATGAAGTCATTAGAAATATAATTGCATGATACCTCAATAAAATACATATTTATCGGTTTTATGTCAAAGTGTTACATCTGATATGATGATTTTGAAAACGTATAATATAGAGAGTGAATAGACTGCCAATATAGCAATTCATGTCTGCTGCATCTCTCTGACTCATGCCTCTGACCTGTGTGATTGACAGGTAGCTCCTCTTCCTCGTGGCCGGACATCATGCTAGCAGTCTAACAGAGAACACACAAACTGGATCATCTCACCGGTCACAGGTGAACACATGTCGTTAGGAAAGAACATCTTACAATTCCATCCCAAATAAACTCCTGAAATACCAAGTTGAGTTTTTTTTTGTATTGTATTGCTTGTACATTGCTAGTAAATAGTTAGCTCAGACTTTGTGAGTTCACTATATTTTATTGTATCTTGTTTGAAGCAGTTGTGTTTATACATGATTCAAGCTTAAAGGTGAGGTATGTAATTTATTTCAGAAACACTTTTTGTTATATTCCATGGAATGCTCTTAACATCCCGATAGCAATGAATATATTAAATGCTTTGACAATAAATACATAAAATGTCATCTGTGGAAGCCGTGGCGCTGTAAAAAGTACGACCAATCATTTTAGCCGGCCCGGGCGAGCGCACTCGAGCTGGTTTCTCCAAAATGACCTACCCCACCTTTAACTGTATGATATAAAGATAATGTATTGTCTATGTATTGTCAAAAGAATAAGATACCACCAGACATTTAGTCTGGACAAAAGGCAAACATACTGAGAAAATTATTGTCTTTAATTCAGGCATTTTAGTATAGCCTGACATAGCCCTAACTTGAATACGCAACACTCAACACTGTCTGTGACACTTGCAGACCTAACTATCAGCAACATGTTGTCATCACAATCAGTTACTGTGATCCAGGCTGATGTCTACTTATCAGATCATACTGAGATTACCAGAAGTCTGACGTCTACAAATGCATTTTAGTAAGTAGTGGCATGTGAGTGATTTGACATTTTCTGCTAACTAAAAATGTTTTTCTGTGTACCTTTTTATAACCCAAGCTACTTTTAGTTTGTATTCTATTGCTGTGATTCTAAAAATGTAGAATTAGAGAAAAGCTACAGATGTAACTTTTTATTTGAAAACGATTTGGATGGCAGCATATTCACTTATGAATGAAGGGTTAGGACGATACAGAATTCATTATATTGAATATATATTTCTCATCTGTGATGTCGAATCATTATATTTCGGTTCATTTGAGTCAAATGAACCTAAAGTGGCATGAATTCTTCCAATAAATTAAATGTTGTTTGATGCCAACTTTGATGACTGGTGCTCAAAAAAGTATCATGTAATGCACTCAGGAGGAAAGCACA